ATAATTTATTTAATATGTCAAAATTATTTTTTTATGGATATGCAATGTAAATAATTTTGTAATTGTTTATTTATATAATTTTTAATAACTATTTAAAAAAAAAATAATTTTTTAAATTTGTTTCCATTTACAAACACTTTTAAATTTTTTTTCTTTCAAATATATAATCAATGTTAAAATATGGATAATTAATTAAAAAATTATATTTATAATAATTTTAACCTTATTTTATACATAAGGGTAAAATGGTAATTTTCTTAAATAATCAATTAAAATTATAATTTTTATATCTCATATCAATCAAATCACTCACAATTTTGCATAAACTTTTATTTCACTTTCCATTCATCCAAACAACTTTAATTTCACCTCCATTTTTCTTCAAATTCTTCATTTTTCACACTCTCATTTCCACTCTTTCAAATCACTCCAACAAAACAAAGCATTAATGTTAGACGACGATGGTTTTACAAATAAAAAACAAAACATACATTATATAATAATTTTTATAATTTCATTCAATATATATATATATATATATATATATATATATATATATATTCCATAACTACAAAAAATATTTTTGTTAGAACTGATAAATATAAAACATGATTTAGTTTACCAATTTTTGTAAATATTGTATGTTTTTTAATTTTAAAACTAGGTGAAAAATATTATTAGAGTGTTATTTTTTCAAAAATAAATTGTTTTTTATTTTTTAAGAAAAGGAAACAAAATCTTTAGAAATTTTGTTAGGGAGAATAAATTATAAACTTAGATTTCACACATATTGGTAATTTAAAGACAATTTCCGACTAAATAGAATAAAGGATAATATTTTTGGAAAATGATGCTTTGACAACCCAAATCCATACAACTCCTATAACACAACTCTCTTTTAATATTATAATAATAGTTTTGTTTTAATTTTTATTTTTATTCAATCATTTTATAGATTATTATATTAATAAAAGTGAGTTGTTTGAAGGGTTGTATGGTTTCTAGTTGTCAAAATATCACCACTCAATATTTTTACCTTTATAATAAAAATAATTTAATAAAAAATTCTTAAATTTCAAATCTCTATCTTAAAAAATTCACCATTTCTATAAATTTCACATTCTTTAACTTCTCTTTACAAATTTCTTCCTCAAATCTTATTTTTTTTTAGATTTAAACACATTAATGAAAGAAGCATTTTTATCTAATCAAAATTTTAGATAGAGTAAATTTCTCTTTGTCCAATTTTAAAGTATTTTTTTTAAATTAAGATTAGTTTTTGTATGTGGGCATATGACTCTTGCATTTTAATTTTGTGGGATAAAAATAAGTTTTTACTAGTTTAAAAACATTTTAATATATTCATTTTGTTAATTAGAATTTTATGTGAGTAGGATATGACTTTCTTTAAGTTCAGGGACTTTTTTTGGGTTTTTGGAATTGGAAGTTTTGAAATTGAGATAAGAAAAACTAATAGTAAATCCCTTAACACCTTCGAATAAATAAATTAAATTGTGATTATGACTTTGTTTTGTTGTTTAAATTATAAAAATTTGATTGTTAATATTACATCATAAATTGTGATTGTATGTATTGATTTAATATGATAATGTGTGTAAAATAAGATAGTCTTGTTTAAACTAAGCATGACATGTTTCTTGAACGAATTTATGTAATAAAATCTCAAAAAAGTTATTTGTAATCTAGAATATGGTTTTGCATAAGTTATAGAGATATGTTACTTGCATAGTTCACTTAAGCCAAAATGAATTTTAAAGATGAAAGACTTTTTTAGGTTTTATTTTGCTAAAAAAAAATCTAGTAGAGTGAGACTTGTTTTTGTTGTAATTTTGTTATAGTAAAAACAAATCACTCAAGCAAAAAGTATCTAAAGAAAAAGAAGGTTTGTGGAGAATTTTTGCTCAAGTAAAAAATATGTGCTCAAGCAACAAATTATTGTTTTTAAAACTTAAAAATGATGGAAATTATAATTATAAGGTAATTTCTTTTATGTATTTGATATATATATATATATATATATATATATATATATATATATATATATATATATATATGACTTAAGATGTTATAATGCAAGTGTATGGATAAAAAATAAGGTGTGTTAAGTATTATTGTATATATAAAAATATATATATTTATTGTAATGTGAAAAATATCACAAGGTATCCTCACATGTTTATATTATGCTATCTCGTTTACCAATGTAAGTTAACATAGTGATTTCAAAAAAAAAAAATATTATGTTAAGATGTAAATAATGTATTAAATTTGAGATTCTAAAACAGATATCATAACTCTATTGAAACTAAACTCATAAAAAAAAAAAATATCATACAGTAAGAGTTGAAGGAGGTTTTTATACCTTAGTTATGATGTGAAAAAAAAATGTATGACAAATTACATAAATTTACCTTTTCTATAAGAGAACATGTTTCAATGATGTACTTATGTTGGAGATATACACATAGAAAATGTAATGTGATATGTGTAAATCTCTTAGTTTAATTAAACTCATGTGAGTATTTTGGAAACAAAGTCAAGTTTTTGCGGTATGTGTTAGTGAACTCATATAGAAAAGTATCACGTGATGAGAGTTGAAAGATATCTTTGTGACTTAATTGCGATGTGGAAAAAAATAAAAATTGTGTTTGACAAATTACAAGAATCTACGTTGTCATATGAGATAATATGTTCCAATCATGTACTTATGTTGAAGATATTCACTTAGAATAGATAATATGACATGTGTAAATCTCTTAGTCTAATTCAACATATGTGAATATTCTGAAAATAAAGTCAAGTATTCATTGTATATGTCAATGAATGATAGAGATGACAAAATGAGCTAGCATATCCTATCTTTAGTCTGAAAAAAATGAGACGATACAAGTTAACTTGTCATAGTTAGGACAAATTACAAATCCTAACTCACCCACCAAAAGAGGGGTCGACAAGGTAGCGGGTCAATCCCTTAATATGTTGTTTTATATTATTAAAAAAATACATATTTAATTATATGAATAATTTGTATGTTTGTATTCATTAATTAATATCTTTAGTAGATAAATTAAAAATATATTATATTTATATGTTAAATATTTAATTATAATAAATAATTTATGTCTAATTAATTAATATTTATAATTTAAATTATAATATTATATGATATTTGTATATTTTAATAATATAATACAAAATTATGTAACATTTTTAATTATAATTTTTATTTTTATTTTAATATACAAATATTTTTAAAAGTGAGTAAACAGGTTAATTCATTCTGCTAGGTTGGATTGACATACTAGGTGAGGTGGGTTAAAAGGAGGTAATGGATTGACATACTAGGTGAGGTGAGTTAAAACGAGATAATTGACTAAAACTACCAACTCTATCAATTTTGAGACAGATTAATAAGTTTACTGGTCAAACCTAACTCACTTTGCTAGTCAATAATGCATGAGATGTAACTTACGTTGAGAATTAGATACCTGATTCTTTATTTACTTGTTTTACATGATAGAATTATTTATGAAAAATAATATAAATGTAAGATGATATATGACTTTAAATTTTCATCACTAGCTTCCTCTGTTTTATATAATATAATGTGTTTAAATATAATGATCATGTTATTACATAAGAATAAAAAAATATCTCACCTAATTCCTAATATTGAATTGTTGAGAAAGAGTTAAAGAAATTTTCCATTTAAGATATATTATTTAAAATATGGATATAAATATCTAAGTAAGAGAATGATATTTTTTTAAAATACTTATATCTGGAATCAAAATATCAAAATTTTTTATATCTTTAAATAATTTAAATTTAATGTTTTAATGTAATTGGTATGAGATGTTAATCAGGTAAAAAAAACACATGAATTCACACTTTGATAATTAAAAATATATAATAAAAATAAATAAATTAAGTATTTACTATCTTATAATTATTTATTAATTTTAGAATATACTTTCATATATATATATATATATATATATATATAAATCTTATATAGTTTTAAAGTGAATATAAAAAATATTATATATATATTTTTTTAATTCCTTAATACATTTTTTAAACACAAAATCATAATAAACTAAAATAAAAAAAAATCAATAAAGATACGAAAGTCTTATAATTACAAACATAGTAATATTATGGGAACAATTATTACAAATAACAAATAACTTTACAAAATGATTAAAATCATGATCATTTTATTACATATTTAATAGATTGATACAATGTTAAAAAAAATAAATTATTACAAGAGTAAATCGTTATTTCTTTTTCCCATAAATTTAAATTATCCCCGTATTTGATACACAGTTGCTGTCAGATATGAATGTTCCTGCATAAAAAGATACAACTAAGTTTTTCTTAGTTTGGATGTGAGATATATAATGTTTAATTTTTAGATAAAACGACACCGCGTTAGTTTAATTAAAATGAAATGGATAATATTTATAATAAATTTCATTTTGATGCATTGCACCAAATAAGTGTATGTTTTTAATAGATTCGTAATGGGAAAAAATCAATTATTTTTTCATTTGTAATTTTATAAGATAGAATAAATTACTATTTAAATACAAGGCTTTTTATGTTACATGTTGGACTCTACCTTCTTTTGTAGCTGGTGAAAAGGCTCAAATGTATCCTCTGCTGCACTCTGTCAAAGATAGTACTACTTGCTTCAGAAGGATGCATTCTTCTTCTTCATAAATCATTTTAAAATCACAAAAAGTGAAAAGGAACAAAAAAAAAATGATATGAAATCTTCCTTCAAGTAACCGGTGATTCCATCGCCACTTCTAGTCTTATACCACCACTGATTGCACTCCATCTTTCTTCATCCCCATTGTGAGTCAGAGTTCTGGGTAAAACTTGGAATATCAATTTCTGTATAACCGTTGGATTTATCTGGAGCTGCAAATATGAAAAACAAAATGTGGCTTTTTCTGTTCCTCGTTTTTATGGAATGCTATCTGGGTATGTCATGTTTCTCCTTTTTTGCACCAGTTTGGTCATGGTTATGTTTCTATCCTCATGGGAAGCTATATCTTGGCTTTCTGTTTTTCTTGTTGTTTATAATTTTTTCTCTGTTTTTTCTTTTTCATTTTAGATTTCAAACTAGTTGTTGAGTGTCTTGCTGGTGCAGTTTGCCAGTTTCAGGATCACTTTTTTTTTTTTTTTTTGTTCGAGAAAAGGGTCACATTTTCTTAAATCTAACTCTTTTTAACAGATCTTAGTGGTCTCTGTCTCTTGCTAACTAATCAACAAATCTCATTTTCTTTTCTGGGTACTTCCATTTTTATCATTGCAATACTAAATTTTATACCTTTTTTTAGAGGGAGGGGTAGGCAAAAAATGTTGTCACTTATGTTGCTTTAATATTTAGAATGAGAAAAGAACAAGTTTAACTCATCAAACAAATCAGAGGAAACATTCTTATTGCTCTCTTGTAATCTTTTTGGTCAAGTTTGAGAGAACTAATTATAAAAAAAAAACTCAGAAACCACCCCAGTCACCCATTTTCAACTTGTATACTTGTAAGCAGGAAAAAAAGGATCATGTTTTTTTTTTAATCCTTGGTTGAGTTGAGTTGCTTTTCTGATTATTGTCAAGTTAATATCTGGTTCATCCCATTTGAGTCACTATTTGTAACCTTATTTTTCTTTTGTGGGCTTTAAACCCTAAACCCACTAAACTTTTTTAATGACCAAACTCTGGGTAGTTTTTAGCTTGAAAAGGAGTGATAAAAGGATAAGAATGATGGGGTTCAAATTCTTTTCTTCCTTCATACCACAATCCCCTCAAAATAATGTAATTATTATTTAGCTCAGGTATGTATAAAGTTATGAGACTACTTTCTTTTATTCACTGGTTCTTTTTCGTGTGTTGTTGGTGGACCAGAGGTTGATGCTGCTGCATGATTTTTCACGAAATAGTACACTAATGAATGATTAGTTTGGTCATTAGTGGCTTATTCATTTAAATAATTAATACTATTATGCTTTTTTCTGGTTCCATGACTTTGACAAAAATATTTAGCCACGGCAAGGGGAATTGTGGTGCAACAGAAATCAGATGCTGCAATCCCAGTGACAACACTGTCACCACCTGAAGGCAACACTACGTTCATTGATGGCACAACTTGGTGCGTGGCTCTTGCTGGTGTTTCCCAAGGTGACTTGCAGAATGCCCTTGATTGGGCTTGTGGACTTGGAATGGCGAATTGCAAAGCCATCCAAAAGGGTGGACCATGTTTTGAACCTGACACACTAGTTTCTCATGCATCCTTTGCTTTCAATAGCTACTATCAGACAAATGGTAATTCTGATATTGCATGCAATTTTGGAGGCACTGCTGCTTTGACCAAACGTAACCCCAGTAAGTTAAAATATTAATCTGAGATTTTAGTTGCGAGAAGTTTATGTTAAGACATATTTTGGATAACATATTTGTGATCCAGAGTCGATAATTTTTAATAGAACTTCATTCCCAACTATGTTTTTTTTTTTCATTACAAAGATATGTTAAGAGATGGGATTAAGATTCCCTAGCCCCACCAAAAAATATGTTGATGCTCTATATGAAGATCACAAGTTACATATATACAGTTATATATGCCTCTTGGATCTTGGGAACTTTAGTACTTTTCCTCTTTGCCATTTTTGTTCCCATGTAGCATCCTTTCACTTTTGGTACTATAGTGATGCTTTTGTAGTGTACAATGATGAATAACGTTACTGGTGTGATCATTACTGCTGATTGATGGATGTAAATATATTTACATATATTGATGAATAATGTTAAAGATTTATGGACCTTTCGGCATTCATCTTTCGTTCATTTTTGATTGAGAAGTTTGTGAGGTGTTGAAAAGATAGGTGCTTAACTTAAGCCATTAATTCCATCCAACCAAGTAATTTACTTTTGTGTGTGTGTGCGCTTTCTTTTCTGCATACTCCATTTGCATTATTCTAGTTTCTTTGAACTTTAAAATCAAATTAGAGCTTGTTTTCTTTGAAAACCTGCAAAAGGTTTTTTATATGACGAAGTTCTATGAGATGTGATATTCTTTTATTTTAGAAGATTACCAGAATGCTTACTTTTGAGTAAGCAATTGTATATGTTGAGTTGGTATATATAACTAGGTGCATACTTTTGATTATCTTTCTGATGTCACCATAAAGAGTACATGTTACGCACTATATTTCTGATGCCACACCATTCTGAATTTTTATGTTTCTTTTCTATTTATTCAGGTTATGGAAAATGTGTTTATTCTACATCTGGGTATGCATCATAACTTACTATATAGTTTGTCTAAATTCATAGAAACTTGTATATGTTTCACTGAATCGTTATTGTATTTTTTTTTATGTGATAGATCTCTAGTTGCTTCTGCACCACCTTTGTTGAGGAAGCATAGCCAAAGCCTTGTTTGGTCGAAACTTCTTGTCGTGTTACTGGTTTCAAACTTTTGGATGTGACTATGGTCGGGAAAATGGTGGACAAAAGGAAAAGCGAATTAGAAGAAGTTTAGGGAACGTAGTTTTGTTAGGATTTTGTAATTGTGTTTTTGTTGGTAAGTTATTCTTAGCTTTCATGTTGGGTCAGAACAAGAATCTCTAATTCTGCAAATAATATTTTTTTTTTCAGTTTAATTTGTACATTATTCGTTTCCCATGATGTTTACTGTTCCTTTAAAATAGTTATTATGATAATTTTAAAGATAAAAAATGTGATTTAATTTAAACACGTTACACTATAATTGAAGAGTCTCTCCAATACACTTGAAGGGGCAACTTTTGTTTACAATTGTATAGAATAACACGTCCACAACTATATACATTTGTTTATAATTTTTGAAACTATTAAATATCATGTTATTTTAATATTATTTCATTCACTTTTAATAAAATAACATTAAAATAAAATGAGGCAAATAATTAGTAAACTATACAAAGTCAATTTAATTGGAATGTTAAAGATTTATAATAAGAAGAGAATGATAAACCTCATGTTGATATGAGTAGAATTGAGATTAGATTCCTCAATTAAGGTATTATGTTCAACATTAAAAAAACATGATTAAAATTTAATTATTAATAAATAAAAAACACTTGACATTACATTCGAAGTAATAATTAAAAAAAATGAAGACAATGGGTTAAAAAGATAAAACATTAAAAATATTGAACTTTCATTACTATAATTCATATTTGGTAATATATAAAACTCAAACGAGACTAAACTTAGTTAACTCGTTGAGTATGCATAGACTTTTCTTCTTTAAACCTTGTAAATATATATATATTTTTTTAAATTGTGGTCTTTAATATTTAATTTTGAATATAAAAAGAGTCAATCCATCATTAATAACTTTTATTTTCTATTCTCTTGTTGGTATGGTTAAAGAAGGTTATTGCTATCATCATCCCCACCTTTTTCTCTTGAGGTAATTTTTTTCTTTTAAATGATGAGTGAAGATATAGTTAACATATAGTGTTTGATGCGAGAGAAAGGGAAAGTAAAATCATTTGAAATTTGATGTCTAAAACTCATTATTCTCATACATTTTTAATTATATTTTTCCTCATTTTTTCCCCCGTTTCTCTTTAAACCTTTAATTTTCATTTTATTTCTCATCTGTTTTCACTCTACAAACTTATTCCATCAAAATATATATGTTTCATGAATATAATAATAAAAAAATCAGCTTAATTATATTTAGTTTCGTAAAATTGTAATAAATTTGATTTTGTTCAATAAAATTTCTAAACACAATTTTAGTTCCTTAAATAAAAAACAATTTTAGTTTAATAAATTTATTATCGAGATACAAAATGGGAAATATAGTGAAACTAAGAATAAAATCAACGAATTTTGTAAAAGAAAAATAAAATATTGAAGGCTTGAATGTATAATATATTGGTTATAGAAAGGAAATGAAAATGGAGGACTGAAAATAAGAAGTGAGAAAATAAAAGTAAATAATAAGAACCTTGGAAGAGTACTTGCTTATTCACTTTACCTGGCGCTTCACGGAAACGAGGGCAAAGACAATAGCGAAAGGCGCGAGAGGTGCTTGCATCGTTCGCATTGAATTCGCAATCGCAGAAGCCACCAACGAAACCCTATTCAATTCGCAATCGCAGAAGAAGAGAAGAAAAGAGAAGGATGAGTATATGGAACTACGTGGTCACAGCTCACAAACCCACCAACGTCACTCACTCCTGCGTCGGCAATTTCACCAGTCCTCAAGACCTCAACCTCATTATCGCGTATTCATCCATTCCCTTTCTCTTTTCCTAGGGTTTTCTCTTCTTCTCCTTCTCACTTCTTTTTTCATCCAGGAAATGCACGCGCATCGAGATTCACTTGCTCTCTCCTCAGGGCTTGCAGGTTCTTTCTTTGTTCCGTTATTAACCCACTTTTTTAAATCATTTTATTTCAATCTCCGTTTTTTGGATTTTCTTCTCTTCGTTTTTGGATGAACATGTAACTGAACCGGATGAATGTGAAACCGAAACCTATCCTTGCAGCCTATGTTGGATGTGCCGATATATGGGAGAATCGCAACGCTTGAACTCTTCCGCCCTCATGTGAGAAAGTTAAAAGCATCCGTGTGTCTTGAGTTATGTTTTAGTTTTATTTTATCCTTCCATAATTTTTGTTTTTTTGCTCGTTTTGGTCTCAAACAGGGTGAGACACAGGATTATCTCTTTATTGCAACTGAAAGATACAAATTTTGTGTTCTTCAATGGGATTCTGAGACTGCTGAGCTTGTTACCCGGTATGTGTGAGGAAGCAGCAAATTTTTCCTTTGGAGTGGACTTACTCATGTTCAGGCTTGTTTTTGTATTTAGATTGAAATCAACTTTGTTTTTAATCTCAAGTAATTATGATGCTTAGGGGCATGTAAGCAGTCGGATGGGTTACTAGCAATCTGAATGTGAAATTTGCAATGCAACACTCCAATTAGATAGAATAGGAAACTTTGCATTCAATGAGCAAAAGAGAGTTTCATAACTTTGAAGCCGTATCGTTGTTAATAGATTAACTGCTTCATTAGTTAATACGTTTACTGCTAAGCTTTCTGGTGTTGCCGGATGAAGGAAAGGAGAAAACAACGTTTCTGACACGTATTCTATATGTGCTGGCACTTAACATAGCATTTCATTTCGGCATGACCAGAAAATCCAGATTGATATGTTTTCTATAGCATTCCTTAGGAGGAACTTATGAAGAAGGAAATTTGTATCCATTAAAACTTGTGAAGTGAAATTTTAGTTGAGTGAATTGAATATCCTTGAACTCCCAAATTGAGTCTCGTGCATTAGGCTGCCTCTTTTACTTTCTTTTGAGTGGGATTATTGGCTAACTCTCTGGTCTTGAGTAGTGTCCTAAGTGTACAAGCTAGGAATTTCTGTGAAAAATGATTGGAATTTTTTTGTCGCTTTATCTCCCAGACTGAGTCTCGTACATTAGGCTGCCTCTTTTACATTTTTTTTTGTGTCGGAGTATTGGAGGATAACTTTGTGGTCTTGAGTGGTGTCTTAACTGACAGGCTAGGAATTTCTGTGAAAAATGAAGATTGGAATGTTTTCCTCTGTCATTTGAGACCCAAACAGGATTTTGGAGGCGGAGTTAGGTTGGGATTTGTAAGTCAAAATAAGAATGGGACCCAGATTCCTAACTTAAGTATGTGTGTGAGCATAATTTTGGAAGAGAATGTACATGTAGGGCAGGGGAGGAAATTCTCCTATAAATTGAAACAAATAGTGAGCCAAAATAGCTCAAAGTATCTGTAAGACTTTTCAACTTTTGTATATTTTTCTAAAAATTGGAATTCCTATCAAGCAAATAATGGTTTCCTTGCTTATTAGTTTAATTCTCAATGTTTTTGTCATCCAGGGCTATGGGGGATGTTTCTGATCGGATAGGACGTCCTACTGATAACGGTCAGGTATTTAAATTATTTTATTTCTATCTTCTATTAAAACTTGGTAGTTATTGTATCCTTTAAGTGTTGATATTTGTAACAACACAAATGATAAGTCTAGGATCAGATGAAAGTTGTTCAGTGCGTTTCAGCTGTTATAACATTCTCTTTCTGCAGATTGGCATTATTGATCCTGATTGTAGGTTGATTGGACTGCACTTGTACGATGGTTTGTTCAAAGTATGTAGCTTCTTCTCATTCACTATGCTGTAAAACTATTAGATTCTAATGAAATTATGCTTTGATTTACAGTTTCATGATAGAGCATTTGATTAATTCACTGCTCTTTGATCTTCCAGGTGATTCCCTTTGACAATAAAGGACAACTCAAGGAAGCATTTAATATAAGGTAATCCTTTTTATTCTCTTGGTGGTCTACGAATGCATTCTATTTATAGCTTGACCTTTGCTAGGTATGCATAAATGTAGTACTAATATACTAGATATAACTTAGAAAAAACAAAGGGAAGTATGAACATACTTTTATTAGTTGATTTAATCTATATGTGTAATTGACAAAATGTACTGTTTGCTTTACAGAAGTCATTATTTTGGTAGAAAACGCCTTTTTTTTTATTATTCTTTATCAATAATATCTTAATAATACTAACTTGATTGTTATCACCTAAGTATTCTAGAATCTTTAAAGGAACTTCAAAAATTAAATAAAAACATATACAGTTGTCATTTTTTAAATTGAAATTATTTTTGTAAGTATTTATTGTAATTCCCCTCTATTTTTCCTTCTTCCTCATTTTTGTTTCTGTTTATGATAGTTTATTACAATTGTGATTATATGTTTGCAGGCTTGAGGAGCTGCAAGTTTTGGATATCAAATTTCTTTATGGTTGTTCAAAGCCAACCATTGTGGTTCTTTACCAGGTTTCTAATTCTACCTATGAGAAATACTGGCCTCTCACTTTCTAACACATGTTTGAATACACTCTTTACGATTGGTTGAACTTTATTTTGGTGGGTTCCTCTTATGTAACGACTTTATTTTGTAGTTTTCAATAAATTTTAACCAATTGTTTAGTATGTTTGAAAGAGTTTGTCAGAGAGTGTGATGCTAGCACTCCTCTTCTACCTAATGTTATTGGGTTATTAGTGAATTAGTTCATTGAATAGATTGAGTTTGAGGTGTTGTCATGTTTTGCTTCTTTCTTCTCTCTTCTTTTTATTTTTAAGGTTTGGGTCCATGCTAATGAATAGATTTAAGAATCTAGAGCTCTATATAACGAGGCTAAATTTTTGTGGCTGGTTGTAGTTTAAGCTGTCCTTTGGCATTGTTAGTTGGATCAGAATGCTTACATCGTGTCTTTTGCCCAAAATTTTGTTATGGGGGAGGGAAAGGGAATTATGTTGTGTTTCACATTTTTCTTTTACCAATGGAGACCAGCCTACATATGGTCTAAAGATTGTTGGAACAATCAGCATGAAATCAGCGTAATACCTACCATGTTCTGTTTTTAAAAGAATTCCTTTCAATTTCTAATTTAACATATATTACATTGAAGAAGTAAAAAGTATTTACAGGCATGATCTATGTGAAATTTATGTTTTAGAAGTAACATGAGAATCAAAAGCATCACATGGACATGTACTAGTGATAAAACCTAAATTGTTTAAAAAATAAACTTAACATAAATTCCAATTATATCATCAACTCATTAAATTATTCAAATCTTAAATCCTTAAGATAACGAACCTAAATTGATTGACTAAAATCTCAATCCCTTACAAATTATAACTATTCAATCAACATTATAAATCTATATTTCAAAGATGCCTATTAAAAGTAAACTATCCCTAGGTGCTCAAACTAATATTAGCATTAAGCATAGAGAAGAACAATGTAATTAAAATAAATCTTCAATAAATTTTAAATGAAGTGTTGACATGAGTTTGAGTCTTGTACATCCTATCCTAACAAAAAATAAAATTATTCACTCATGTTCTCACTAGAGATTAAAGAGATTGAAGCAAAATCATTTAATGTGAGCACTTATGGTGTGTTTGGATTGAAGAGTGGATTTGAGGGAGTGGAAAAGAAGAGAAAGATAGTAGAAAGTGAGGTTGTTTGGATTGAGAGAAAGCGAAGAGAAATGAGTGAAATGGTTATAAGAGATAAAATTGATACGATTAATTAAAATATTATTTTATTAATTTTAAATAAGTTTATTTATTATTTTAATATTTTTATTTAATTATTTATTATTATAATAATTAAAACGTAAAAAATAATATTCTATAAAAAAGTTGAGACATAATTGATTATGCAAGTAGACATAATAAGATTATGTGTATGTGTTGTTATCTTTCTTCTCTGTTCTTTGCACATAACAGGGAAGAATAACATCTAAATATTTTTACTTTTTCCCACCTCAATTTTCCCACTTTCATGGAAAATCTTCGCTTCCTGTCTTTCCATGCCTGGATCCAAACAAGCTGTTAGGATTGTCGATGCTGGTATGAGACAATTTAAAGAGTTTGGAAGAGGGTTTGTGATTAGTTGTACTGTTGTAGTCTTAGTTTATGGGTGGACATAATTCGTATTCTTGTATTGTGTATTAAATTTTTCTATGATTCTATTATCTATGAAAATGTATGATGCATAATTTTTTTTTGCATGTTCTTTATGCAATATATTTGGGTGGAAACATCACTGTGTTTAAGATACCCAATTTTCATTTTGATGGCTTTAATATTATATTTTCATCTATGACAGGATAATAAAGATGCTCGCCATGTTAAAACATACGAGGTTGCACTGAAGGATAAAGATTTTGTTGAAGGTCCATGGTCCCAGAACAATCTTGATAATGGGGCTGATTTATTGATACCAGTTCCCCCACCACTTTGTGGCGTGCTTATTATTGGAGAAGAAACCATAGTATATTGCAGTGCTAATGCTTTCAAGGCTATCCCAATCAGACCTGTATGTTAAAGAATAGTTTTTGTTTCTTTCATTTAAATAATCTGTTATGATTGTTTGGATTTTCATGATATTCATACCATACAAGTTTTTGGACTTCCTTCAATCTTAATTATACCTTATGTGCTTTTCAGTCAATTACAAAAGCCTATGGAAGAGTTGATCCTGATGGTTCTAGATATTTACTTGGTGATCATACAGGGTTGCTTAGCCTACTTGTAATAACCCATGAGAAAGAAAAGTATGTGATCTGTCATTCTCGTTTTTATGTTGGTCTAACAGATTTATTACTGTCTTGGGTATAGGCATATTCATTGGAGAAGCAATATGTATCTATGAAAAAGAAAAACCAATGGACCACGATTTTAACTGTTAAAATCTTTTTTGTTTTATCATTTACATTTATTTTGTAGGGTTACTGGACTCAAAATTGAGCCCCTTGGGGAGACATCCATTGCATCTACAATATCATACCTTGATAATGCATTCGTCTTCATTGGTTCAAGTTATGGAGATTCACAGGTGGGCTTAATGAACTATAAAATTATTTTATCAATTTTTGTTTTGTGAGTTTATAGCATGTTATTTCCAAATTTCTGTCTCGCCAAGTATGGCTTTTTGAACAAGTAGGGAGGCTGATTTGTTTCAAATTACTATATTCAGATTTGAGAGATTGTGACTCTTGAGTATATTTGTTTAAATATAGCTTAGAGAGCGTGGTTTTGTTTATAGAATAAATGGCAAGGTTGAGTTTAAGTAACTTGAAGAGACTTTTTAAATATTACTTGAAAAACCTATTCTGTCATGGTACCCCCAAACATAATTTAACAACATACATAAGAAATATTTTACATTCCAACTTCATGAAAAAGAAATATTATAATAATTAGTAAGAACATAAAGCAGTAAGGCATTATCAAGGTATGATATTGTAGATGCAATGGATGTTTCATTGATCAATTTGGATGGTAAAATTAGAAATAGAATAGGTTTGGATGGTAAAATTTTTTCAACTGTATTAATGCCTGGTTCATTGGTTAAAGAACTGATTTTGAGAGTCTGCAATCATCTTCTTGTGTTCTCTTATTTATAGGAGATAAAAATACAGATTCAGAGATACAATTAATAGAGAGACATGATTAATCCTAGAGAAGATAAACATATGCATTTTAGGAACTAGGTCTACAACTAATCTCATAAATGTCCAACAAGATACACTTAATCTAATAAATACTTCAGCACCCCCCCTCAAGCTGGAGCATACAAATTGAATGTACCAAGCTTGGAACAAATGAATTCCATTCGAGGTCCTCTCAAAGATTTTGTTAATGCATCTGCAAGCTGATCATTGGAACCAACAAACTCAGTACAAATTTCTTTAGTCAACAACTTCTCCCGAATAAAATGATAGTCAATCTCAATATGCTTAGTCCTCTCATGAAATACTGGGTTGGAAGCAATGTGAAGAGCAGCTTGATTATCACAATACATCTTTATAGATTGAATCTTACAGAAGTTCAATTCTTGCAAGAATTGTTTTACCCAAACAAGTTCACCAGTAAGAGACGCCATTGCCCTATATTCAGCTTCAGCAGAGGATCAGGCAACAACGTTTTGCTTTTTGCTTTTCCATGAAATGATATTTCCTCCAATGAAAACACAATAGCCTGTAGTGGAACGCCTATCCATAGGAGATCCAGATTCGAGTCAAGCATCACGAGTACCCAAAAATTTGGGTATTTCCCTTATCTTCATATAATAATCCTTGTCCTGGAGCTTTTTTAATGTATCTTAAGATTCGAATGATAGCATTCCAATGATCCACACAAGGAGCTTGCATAAATTGGCTGACAACACCAACTGCAAAAGACAAATCAGGTCTAGTAATCGTCAAATAAATAAGTTTCCCAACCAGTCTTCTATATCTTTCTGGGTCAAAGAAAACTTCACCCTATCCTGCCATTAACTTCAAATTTGGATCCATAGGACTGTCCACAGGTTTGCAATCAATCATACCTGTCTCTTTTAGAATATCTAGAGCATACTTCCTTTGAGAGATGACAATACCTTCTCTTGATTGAGTTACTTCAATACCCAAGAAATATTTTAGATTTCCAAAATCCTTGGTCTGAAAATGACTACACAAGTGCTTTTTAGCTGAGATATTTTAGCAGCATCATTCCCTGTGATGACAATATCATCAACGTACACAATTAAATAAACATGTTTGCCAGGGGCAGTGTGACAATAAAACACTGAATGATCTGCTTCGCTGCGTTTTAATCCAAAAGCTTGAACAATAGAGCTGAATTTTCCAAATCAAGCACGTGGAGACTGTTTTAGGCCATAGAGGGATCGACGTAATTTACAAACCAAACCAGACTCCCCCTGAGCAACAAATCCAGGAGGTTGTTCCATGTAAACTTCTTCTTCTAAGTCACCGTGCAGAAAAGCATTTTTAATATCCAATTGATGAAGAGACCAATGACGAATGGCGGCAATGGCAAGGAACAGGTGGACAGTGGTCATTTTGGCTACTGGAGAAAAAGTATCACAATAATCAAGTCCATATATTTGAGAATACCCTTTAGCCACTAACCTTGCTTTAAGACGATCAACCTGACTATTGGGCCCAACTTTAATAGCATAGATCCAACGACAACCAACTGTTTTCTTTCCCGAAGGGAGAGGAACAAGCTCCCATGTTTTGCTGTAATCAAGGGCCTGCATTTCAGAAATCATGGCTTGTCGCCATCCAGGATGATCAAGCGCTTCGACCACATTTTTGGGAATTGTAATAGAGGAGACAGAGGAAATAAAAGAACAATAGGAAGGAGACAATCTATGATAACTAAGAAAATTGTAAATGGGATGAGGATTACGAGTAGAACGAGTACCTTTGCGAATGGCAATGGGCCAACTGGAGTCATCGTTATCAGGAGCCGTGATATTAGAGGATGATGGTGAAGGACCTGTTATGGATGACTCATCTTGGGGAATGGGATTGTTCACCTGGTTCCTACGTTGATAGGTGATGATATGCTGTGATGCTGATTCTAGAGTATTTTGGGCGGGATTTGGGATGTCAGGAATAGGAGGTACAACTGATTCAACTAAGGGAACAAGAAACACATTTTGGACAGAATCAATATCCTGCATAGAATAAGGGAAGAAGGATGATGATTCAAAAAAGGTGACATTAGCAGACATGTAGTACCTCTTGGTTTCAGGAGAATAACATCGATATTCTTTTTGAAGACGAGAATACCCCAAGAAGACACATTTGATAGCTCTAGGTAAGAGTTTATCTAAGTCAGGAGACATGTCATGAACAAAACATATACATCCAAATACCCTAGGAGAAACATGAAAAATTGGTTCCTTTGGAAATAGAATAGAGTGTGGAACTTTATTATCAAGAGAAGAAGATGACATTCTATTAATGAGAAAGCATGCAGTTAGAATAGCATCTCCCCAATGATGAATAGGCATATTGGCACCTAACAATAAGGTACGAGCAGTTTCAACCAAATGTCTATTTTTTCGTTCTGCTATACCATTTTGCTGTGGTGTGTGAGGACACGTGGACTGGTGTAAAATGCCTTGAGAATTTAGGACATTAGAAAAATCATTAGAAAAGTACTCTTTGGCATTATCACTTCGTAAAACTTTGATTACTTTTCCAAATTGAGTTTTGATTTCATTAAGGAAAGACTTAAAGATAGGCAATAGTTCAGAACGATCTTTCATAAGATAAACCCAAGTACATCTAGAAAACCCATCAATAAAAGTAACAAAATATCTAAAACCAAAAGATGAAACACAACTAGGTCCCCATATATCTGAATGAACAATACTAAAAGCAGAATCACATCTAGATTCAGAATGATTTGGAAAGGATGACCTGGTATGTTTCCCTAGTTGACAGGATTCACATTCAAGAGTTTGAAGGTTCTGAAGTTCAGGAACCATTTTTTTCAATTTTGCTAAATGAGGATGCTCTAATCGCTCATGTAACAGTTTTGGGGATAAGGACGCAACACAAGATACAGATGACTTAGTCCTAAGGTAGTATAAGCCTCCAGATTCACGTCCTTCTCCAATCAGTCGACCCGTACCACGTTTCTGGATAACAAAACAATTGGCATTAAAGGATACTGATCAATTCAATGATTTGGTTAATTGGCTTACAGAAACAAGACTGAATTGAAAAGAAGGAACACAAAGAACATTTTGAAGGTTTAGAGAAGAAGAGATGGATACTTGACCAATTCCTTTAGAGGCTACTTTAGATCCATTAGCTAAAGATATGAGATGGGATGTTTTAGGAAATGAAAGAGAGGAAAATAAAGAGGTATTACCAGACTTGTGGTCAGAAGCACCTGAGTCAATAATCCATGGATTTTGACTTTCCACATATTGCGAAATGCAAGCGGTTGACGAATTTGGTGTTGTAGATGCTTGAGCCAAATTGGTTGATTTCATCCCTAAGTATTCTTGATACTCTTCATGAGAGAACTTGGGCTCATCAACTTCAGATTTTGAGGTATTGGCTGCCTTATCAGGAAAGCCGTGCAGAGCAAAACAATTTTCCTTAGTATTGTCTCATTCTTTTGCAATGAGAGCACTGAGGACGTCTTTTCCCACCACGTCCTCTAGAGCTGTGATTACCTCTTCCACGAGCAGAAATCATGGCGGAAGAATCAGCAAGTTCCTAATTGTTTTTGCTTGTGATAGAAGGAACACGAAGTAGCCTTGTGATTAAACTCTCCGTAGAAGGAACTTTTTCTCCAGTTAGAATCTGGTCTCTAACATGATTAAACTCTGGATTCATAGCCCTAAGAATCATTACCATATAGAATTTATCCAGCTTCGTCTTCCTTTCTTCTAATGATTCTGCCTCCAGGAACATTTTTAATTCTTCAACAGCTGACTGAGCTTCAGCAACAAAGGACATCATGGAATTATCCTCTTGCTTAAGAGAGGCTAGTCTATTAACAGAATCATAAAATCGTTGAATATCGTTAGCAAAGATATTTTGAGCCTTTTTCCAAAAAGAATTACATGTCTTGAAGGCTCGAAGAGTGCTCAAAATATGTGGTTCAACAGATTGCCATAATAGTGCACAAAGTTGATAATCCAGTTTCTTCCATTAAGGAGCCTGATCTGCTGGTATAGTACTTCCATCTTCTTCTAGATGATCATGAACTCCTTGACCTAGAAACCAGAGCTCAACAGAGGAAGCCCAAGACAAATAATTTTTTCCATTTAATTTTTCTGTGGTTATAGTCGGAGTTCCAGAAAAAGATACAGACACAGGTTCTGACATTTTACAAGAAACACGAAAAGACCAGCGTGCTGTCAGAGAGAGGACCGAGAGAGGCAGAGAGAAAAACGCAGATCCACCACGTTTTGTGACCGAGAACACAAAACAAACTGCAGATCTGGCACCAGGGCGACGAGGCGAGCCGAATAGAGGTGGCCTGGAGCAAAACAGCCACCGAGAGGGCGGCGCGTGAGACCCACGCGCGGAGGAAGCCACTGACGAGGGTGGCGCGTGGCGGCGCGTGAGGCAGAGATAGAGGAAGCGAACACTGGGGTTGGGTCGCGCTCCTCGAGCGCGAGCCAAACCCAAGTGTCAGAGAGGAAAAAGGCGCCCGAGAAGACAGCACCGGCGGCGAACGACGGTGAACGGCGATTAATGCCAGAAAAAAAAACAGAGACAGGCAGAGCGGGATGAACCCGCTCTGATACCAACTTGAAATAGAAAAAAGAAATTAAAGAACTGATTTTGAGAGCCTGCAATCATCTTCTTGTGTTCTCTTATTTATAGGAGATAAAAATACAGATTCAGATATACAATTAATAGAGAGACATGATTAATCCTAGAGAAGATAAACAGATGCATTCTAGGAACTAGGTCTACAACTAATCTCATAAATGTCCAACAAGATACACTTAATCTAATAAATACTTCAACAAACAACACACATAAGAAATATTTTACATTCCAACTTCATGAAAAAGAAATATTATAATAATTAGTAAGAACATAAAGCAGTAAGGCAATCCAAGAGGGAGCTGCTTCACCAAAATTTTGTTTTTTCAAATGATATTTTAATTTTTATTATATTTTAGTCTGTAATATAAGATACGAGGGAGGGAAAGAATGGATCTGTATTGCAATATCTGTAGTGTTTTCTTCATTGTTTCCTCTATTCATGTTGCTTTGATGACTTTGAATAGTATTATAGCATTAATAGCTTAATAACTATGCTTACATATTCAGACAACATATTGACAACTTTTAAAATGCACAGCTTATTAAACTAAATCTACAGCCTGACGCAAAAGGTTCTTATGTGGAAGTACTGGAAAGGTATGTCAATTTGGGGCCTATTGTTGACTTCTGTGTGGTAGACCTTGAAAGGCAGGGCCAAGGTCAGGTTGTAACATGCTCTGGAGCTTACAAGGATGGTTCTCTTCGCGTTGTTCGGAATGGGATTGGGATTAATGAACAGGTAAGCTTCCCTTCCTCTCAACTGTGTGGAACATTTGCCCCCAAAGGAAAGAAAAAATAAATCTTTATATCGGTGGCACATACCTTGTATAATATCTATTTTTATGCATGTATTTGATCAGGCATCAGTGGAGCTTCAAGGTATCAAAGGAATGTGGTCACTAAGATCCTCAACAGATGATCCTTTTGATACTTTTCTGGTTGTGAGCTTTATAAGTGAAACAAGAATCTTAGCAATGAATCTTGAGGATGAGCTGGAAGAAACTGAGATTGAGGGATTCTGTTCCCAAGTGCAGACATTATTTTGCCACGATGCAGTTCATAATCAACTTGTTCAAGTAGGTTATTTTCTTAATATATTGGTTTTCTTTTCTTGATTTAACAAATTTAAGAAAAATGAATTCCAAGAAAGCTGTTCATAGGTGCAGAATTGTTTTTGGCATATTAATATGAATTTAGAGTCCAATTTTACTGTTAGATATTTCTACACGATTACTTTTCTTTAATTTTCAAACTGTTTTGTAACCAACCTAATATTGATTACTACAAATATTTACCCGTTTTGGTATGATAAAACTTTTTATTTTTTGTTTTCTATATTAATTATTGGCAGGTTTAATCTTCTGCACACCTATGTAAACTTGGAATTTTGAAGAATGAAAAATTAAACTTTTATACTTTGAGTTCATATTCTTGAAGCTTCGGTTCGGAGCTAACTTTTGCATTCTCCTTTGTAGTTAATTTGAATAATCTTCATAAATTGATTCCATAAATTAATGCTCTTCTGCTGTTCTATTTTATTTTGTTTTATGTCAGTCACCTGCCATTAGCTAATAAACCATCATAACAGGTCACTTCAAACTCTGTCAGACTGGTCAGTTCCACTACTAGAGAGCTCCGTAATGAATGGCTGGCACCATCAGGCTATTCAGTAAATGTAGCTACAGCGAACGCTACCCAGGTTTGATTGGATGCTTAAGAAAATGTTATATTTTAAAATTATAGGAAATCTTTGCTTGGTGGTTTAATATTGCAATTGGTTTCCTTGTGAATGTGGCATTTCTGAGTAGAGGCATCAGAGTCTGTCACATTTCCCCTCCCACCTGTTCTCATGGAAATAATTTTGATGTACATTGGCTGTCAGGAAGATGGAAGTTGGTGAACCATGAGCAGCTATTTATGATCAATTTTAATATGAATTGAGCCCATATTCTTCTATTGCTGCTAGTGCTATTTGTGCAAAGATATTGAATTTAGAAAGCTATAGGATTATTAAAAATATAAAGCTAAAAGGTAAAAGGTGGAAAACAGTGAAAAGATGTTGAATCTGTATTCGTGAGCTCTCTGCCATTGGTTGTTTAAAAATGCTGAGTGATGACTTAATGGCTTCTGTAAGCATGGAAGATTTCCTGAAGGTTTTCAGCTAATGTTAGTTAGGTGTGAAGGCTGGCTCTAGTTTCTTAATGCCTGCTTCCAGTTTTTTTTTTTTTTTTTTATTTACTTAGGGAATCATGTTCTTTGATTCTCCAAGGATTGATTTTGGTCATCATGGAAACGCAAATAAATATCTACATGAATATGAATGTGTTTATTTATAATGATAAATTTGTTCATCTTCTCGTTTTGCTATTTTAATTCAGATATTGTAAAGTTTAGTTTGCCAGGAACAGTGGAAAGTTAAAGGTAAAAAAAGGTCAATCATTAAGCGACAATACAGTTTTTGCTTATTTTAATTCCTTGAAAGTTGAAAGGATTTTCCATCGCTGAAATATCCTTTTCAAATTGTAGAGAATTATAGATTCTTATACACTAAAAGCTACAGACACATTCAGCACAATAATATAATTTTTGCCAAATTTTCAATAGAATAAGTTTTATATCTATGACTGTTCAGCCAAACATAATTTGGGTTAATTGGTATAGAAATACTAAAATAAATTTTGGCCAGAAGTATCTGTTTTTGCTGCTAGCAAAATAAATTTTGTGCTTGGCTGCAACTTGGCCTTTGATATTATTTTTAGGTCTCATTACTAGTTTTAGTATAGTATCCAATCAAGTTCAACGAAAGTTACCATTTAAGAGAATTTCCTTCAATCTACACTATTCACATTTTCATTGTCTGATTTCATTATGACTTGTACACACTTGAGTTTGCTGTCGAAATGTTAACTATCATTTCCCCTGGATACAGGTTTTGTTGGCCACAGGAGGAGGGCATTTAGTTTACCTTGAAATTGGAGACGGAATATTGCAAGAAGTAAAACATGCCCAACTGGAGTATGAGATTTCGTGTCTGGACATAAATCCCATTGGTGAAAATCACAATCACAGTCATCTTGCAGCAGTTGGAATGTGGACAGACATAAGTGTTAGAATTTTTTCACTTCCGGACCTGAATCTCATCACTAAGGAACAGTTAGGAGGGGAGATCATTCCTCGTTCTGTTCTTCTCTGTGCCTTTGAAGGGGTAGGCTTTCCTTGTGTTATTTTTTAATGTGCTTTTATTCTTTTTCAGTCTGGTCTTCTTCTTAATTGTTTTGCTTCTGAAATACCTGATTATGATTTGAAATGCTCATCTCTTGTTTGTTCAATCTTTGGATTAGAGATTTTGGAATTTACATGTGTCCACTGTGAGGGGTATACTAGATCAGCAACACTAACATCTTACTCTTCTCATGTTAAATATTTTTATAATGTCTGTCAAGGATTAATTTAGGATTTGCTAAACTTCCAATTCACAAGTTTTTACAGTTTTTTGTTTAAATATCTTATTTGTGTTTTTTAATTTTATTCTCCAGATATCTTACTTGCTATGTGCTCTCGGTGATGGACATCTTTTAAACTTTATGCTGAACACAAGTACAGGCGAGTTAACGGATAGAAAAAAAGTATCTCTTGGGACACAACCCATTACACTACGGACATTCTCCTCCAAGAATACTACCCATGTATTTGCTGCATCTGATCGGCCAACTGTGATCTATAGTAGTAACAAAAAATTACTTTATAGTAATGTGAATCTGAAGGAAGTGAGTCACATGTGTCCTTTCAATTCTGCTGCTTTTCCAGACAGGTATCTTGGCCTTTCTGTTGGTTAGACTTCCTAGAACTATTGACATATCCCCCTTGTGCTGTTTTTTGGATCTTGTATCGGACATTTAATGTGAAGGTGATGGTACTCATCCACTGTTCATAACTTTCAACAGTTTGGCAATTGCGAAAGAAGGTGAGCTTACTATCGGCACCATTGATGACATACAAAAACTCCATATTCGCTCTATTCCACTAGGAGAGCATGCCCGGCGGATCTGCCACCAGGAACAATCTAGGACTTTTGCTATTTGTAGTTTAAAATACAACCCAACAAGTGGTGAAGACTCGGAAATGCACTTCGTCCGCTTGCTGGATGACCAGACTTTTGAGTTCATATCAACTTATTCTCTTGACACATATGAGTATGGTTGCTTTATAATTAGCTGCTCATTCTCGGATGATAATAATGTTTATTACTGTGTCGGAACTGCATATGTATTGCCAGAGGAAAATGAACCAACCAAAGTAAGTTGATAAATTTGTATTTTTTTCAGCATTGTTCCAGTTAAAGCTTCTGATACCTGCTTCCTATGCCCATTTTAAAACATGTAGGGAAGAATTCTTGTTTTTACTGTTGAAGATGGAAAACTACAGCTGATTGCCGAGAAGGAGACAAAAGGAGCTGTTTATTGCTTGAATGCATTTAATGGTAAATTGCTTGCTGCTATAAATCAAAAAATTCAGCTGTACAAGTGGGTGCGACGTGATGATGGTACCCATGAATTGCAGTCTGAATGTGGACATCACGGACACATCCTAGCACTTTATGTACAAACTAGAGGAGATTTTATTGTAGTTGGTGACCTGATGAAGTCAATTTCCTTGTTAATCTACAAGGTAAGCTTTTAAATTGTCATGATGCCGAAGTTTATTGTCTTTAAATGATAACCTTTCCAATGATGTGGCTGTTTTTTTGGGTTAAAATTGTTAAAATTTGAGTGCTGTGACGCAAATTTCTGGTTGGTTTCGTCAAGATTTAACCGTTAAGTTGCTTACCGTTTTGGATGAATAACGGATGGATAACTTTTTCTTTATTGTTAGCATGAAGAAGGTGCTATTGAGGAAAGAGCTCGTGACTACAATGCAAACTGGATGTCAGCCGTCGAAATCCTTGACGATGACATTTACCTAGGTGCAGAAAATAATTTTAATCTGTTCAGTGTTCGGAAAAATAGTGAAGGGGCTACTGATGAAGAGCGAGGTCGTCTTGAAGTAGTTGGTGAGTATCACCTTGGAGAATTTATCAATCGGTTCCGGCATGGCTCCCTCGTTATGCGCTTGCCAGATTCTGATGTTGGGCAGATTCCAACTGTTATATTTGGAACCATTAATGGTGTTATTGGAGTTATTGCTTCTCTTCCGCATGAGCAATATGTTTTCTTGGAGAAACTTCAGTCGAATTTGAGGAAGGTAATTAAAGGTGTTGGAGGACTTAGCCATGAGCAATGGAGGTCATTTAACAATGAGAAGAAAACTGTTGAAGCCAGAAACTTTTTAGATGGAGATTTGATCGAATCATTTCTTGATCTCAACCGCAGTAAGATGGATGAAATTTCCAAGGCAATGGATGTTTCTGTAGAGGAGTTATGCAAAAGAGTAGAAGAGTTGACAAGGTTGCACTGAGTTTTTGTTTTTTAATTTTTGTCTCATTTAACATGGTTCTTCCTTTATTTTCCTGGGGTTGGGTGGGGCTATAATATTATATTTTGATTTACCCTCAGCTTTTACCTTCGGTTTGCGTTTTACAATACATGAATCACAATTGGTGTATGATATGAATGCCATGTTCTAAGGCACAGTGGCGCTTTACACTTTTTAACACCACCAATTTCCCAATATTTGCATCGAGTTATTTTTATGTTGCAATTCTGTCGTCAACTAACGAATCAAGCAGAAAATAAAAATCTTGTCAGATCATCTCGTTTCCTTTCAAAAATTTTCATTTTTCTCGTAATATCAGATTATCTTTATGGTGTTTGAATTTGAGGGAAAAACTGTGCAACCCCTCTGTTCGTATTTAGTCTCTATTGATGTGGCTTTGAAACTTAGCCTGTTAACGGTATAACTTTCACTTGGACATAATGAACAAATTCATTCGAATTGGATTCTAAAACGACTATATTTACACTTGTAAAGACCAAGGATTTCAGAACTATATCTAGTGTTAGAATTTAGTATAATCAAGCCATATATTTATTTTTCTTAGAAAAAGATTTGAAATAAATTAGAGAACTCTTTTTCACTCTTGGGATATGATAAAATGAATAAATGGGATAAGACAGGACAGAAAAGTCCAAATTTGTCGTAGTATGATATGAGTGAACAGCAGAAGTACAACCATCGGGTCGAGCTACAGTAACTGTGTTGGACACCAACCAGTTTCATGTTCCCAAGTTGTCTTGTCTCAGAATGTTATGACAGTCGCTTCTGTTAGTCACCATGTTTTTTAAAGTTGAAAAATTCTATTTTCTTCCCTCTGCTGTCACATATTAGAGTTTAATGAAGTGCTTTTAACCCATTTCCGGATATAAAATAGGAAAGAGCGGAGACATTAAGGATTTGTTTGGTTGGAGTGATACATTAAGGATTTGTTTGGTTGGAGTGATTTGAGAGAGTGAAATTGAGAGAGTGGAAAAAGAGGGATTTGAAGAGAAATGGAGATGATTGAAAAGAGAAAGGAAAGTTTATGGGAAATTGTGAATGATTTGATTGATATGAGATATAAAAATTATAATTTTATGTTGATTATTTAAAAAAATTACCATTTTACCCTTTGTATAAAATAAGGTTCAAATGATTATAAATATAAATTTTTAATTAATTATCCATATTTTAACATTGATTATATATTTAAAAGAAAAAACAAAATTAAAAGTGTTTGTAATTGGAAACAAATTTAAAAAATTAACTTTTTTTAGATAGTTATTAAAAATTATATAAATAAACAATTACAAAATTATGTACATTGCATATCCATATTCAAATAATGTTGACATATTAAATAAATTATTTGACTAATAATTAAATAATTATAAAATATAAAATAATAATTAATATTGATCTGATAATAACAAATAATTATGAAAACTAATAATATAATTGTACATTATTATTTAAAACAAATATAAAATACAAGTGAAAATAGAATAATAATTAAATGAAACATTACTAAAATTATAAACCTATGCACACTAATGCTCTTCAAACAAATAATTATAATGTTATTCATCTTTTGCAGATCAAGTCCTCCAGTTGAGATCATTCAATCACTTCCACTCAAGAACATGAACAACCTGGGAGAGACGAAGATGTCCCATATATCTGATTCGAATGTTGAAATGTTGATGATCGTCTCATCACATTAACTTGAGATAAAATAATTACAATATAATTTTCTACTTTAAGAATTAATAATATAATTAAACTCAAAATTGAGAATACTCTTATACATTTTGAACTCTTTTGGATAAATTTTGTTTCCCTAATTTTTGATAAAGTTAATTTTAATATTTAAAATTATTTAACATTTTGAATTCTGAAAGGTTTTCTCTAATAGCAAATTAAAAAACATAATATTCAAAAAATATTTTAAGATTCAGTCTCGGGTTGCATTTCGCTCGAGCGACTATATCTCGCTCGAGCGAAAACGATCCTGATCGATCATAATTTGAAATGATCGAGCATAATTGGAGGATATAATAGTGGTTCCTCTCGTAATCGCTATCTAAAGTGTATATCATATACAACCATATTTTAATTTCTTGAGTCTCGGGTTGTGTTTCACTTGAAGCGACTATATCTCGCTCGAGCGAAATATGATTCTGATCGATTAGATTTTCGAAATGATCGATCATATTTCATAATTTTTCAAATAATTAATTCTAATCGATTATTTTTCTAAATTATTGATTAGAATTGATTAGTTTTTCAAATAATAGCTTAGAATTGATTAAATTACAAATATATATTAAAAAATTATAATTAAAAATATAGATTATTTAAGAATATTAACTATTGTAAAGATAAAGTAGAACATGGGAGGAGATGAGGATGATAATATAATGATAGAAGTTACAAAAATGTAGAATTGAGAAGTTTGAAACAAAAAAATTAAGAAAATAGAGATTTAATTACACTTTTAATAAAATTGAAGATAATTACAATATAATTTTCTACTTTGAGAATGAACAATATAATTAAGAAGATCAAGTGTAATGTTATTGATGCTAATTTTAACAATAATACAATAATATTATTTTCGAAAATGCCCATATTCATGTGAATATTTTGATTATTATTATATAAAATAATTAAAAGAATAAGGTAAATAGAAAAGTAAAATGCATGGTTATACCACTTTCCTTTTAATCTATAATTAGTTAGGTATGAATCAAATGTAAAGTCTAATGTTATTGATGCTAATTTTAAGAAGATCACAAAATGTAAATTAAATAACTACAATATAAATTTCTACTTTGTGAATGAACAATATAATTAAACTCAAAATTGAGAATACTCTTATACATTTTTGAACTCTTTTGGATAAATTTTGTTTTCCTAATTTTTGATAAAGTTAATTTTAATATTTAAAAGTATTTAACATTTTGAATTACGAAAGGTTTTCTCTAATAGCAAATTTAAAAACATAATATTCAAAAAAATATTTTAAGATTCAGTCTCGGGTTGCATTTTGCTCGAGCGACTATATCTCGCTCGAGCGAAATGCGATCCTGATCGATCATAATTTGAAATGATCGATCATAATTGGAGGATATAATAAGCGGTTCCTCATGCATCGCTATCTAAAGTGTATATTAGATAGCGGTTCCAGTGGAACCGCTATCATATACAACCATATTTTAATTTCTTCAGTCTCGGGTTGTGTTTCGCTTGAGCGACTATATCTCGCTCGAGCGAAATATGATTCTGATCGATTAGATTTAAGAAATGATCGATCATAATTGGAGGATATAATAGCGGTTCCTCTGTAACCGCTATCTAAAGTGATATATAATAGCGGTTAAGATTTAACCGCTATTAGAAGTGATATATAATAGCGATTATGTTTTAACCGCTATTAGAAGTGATATATAATAGCGGTTAAGTTTTAACCGCTATTACAAGTGCTATTATAATAGCGGTTAAGATTTAACCGCTATCATATGGAAGAGGGTAAGTTCAACATTTCATTATCTCCAGCAGACTTTCGTCTCTTTTCTTCGCAGATTAGCGAAGAAAGTCTCTCTCCCCTCTCCCCCTTTTCCTCGCCTGCATTTCTTCGCAAATCTGTTCAACCAAATGTGGGTGAATCTCGTGCTTCTGTCTTCGTGAACAGTATTTCGTCGCAAATCAGTTCAAACAAACACAGCATAAATGAGATATATGCTAATGCAGCAAGAGACATCTATCGTATAGCATAACATGATTTCCAAATGATATCAAGTATGGACCAGTTTGCTCAATATTATTTGTCTGATTGATGGTCTTTATTTGGCTGATTGAATTCTTTCCTTATTTATAATTAAATGTGTTGCTATTTCTCTTTATTGCGTTTTTACTTTCTCTTTTAAATTTCGCTACTTCTATTATAGGATTGTTGCTAGTTTCGTGAAGCCAAGGATGAAGATGGATGGGCTGAATATAAAAGGGTCTTTGGTTCTTGACAAATATTGCTCATGGAAAATAATTTTGCTAAATTAATGTCTTCATAGGTGGAGATTTCCCATGCTTTTGTTTGTGGGGAAAAACAAAATTATGTTGAAATGCATGTCAATGCACATTACAGATAACCTTTCTTCATAGGTGGAGATTTCCCACGCTTTTATTATGAGTTATTTCAAGTACTTGCCCAGGAGAATAAGTAATACTCTGATTAAAAACATTGAGTAAAGACAATTCAGAACTAAAGTGATTTATTTTCCTTTCTTACCCTTTAAAATGATTTTGCTTTTTAAAATTTGTGTTTGATAGATTATGCAATGAGTCAAGTTTCTATGTCCTGCATTTTTTCTTACACAGCTAAGCCATGTGAGAACACTTGCCATGGCAGTACTTTGCATGGATTGTGTAGTCAGCTTTGAGCTAGATTGATATATAAGTTCCCGAATTTTAGATTCTTCTATTTTTCAACTAATTTTTATGCTCTGTTTTCGTTGTTGATTATAAATCATAGATGCCTACATAACATTTTTGTATAAATTTTGAATGCATCCAAAGTTGCCTACTATAAAACTAATTTGTTATTTCTTTTACACGGTCTGATGCATTATCACAATCTGGTCCATATTCTAATCTAAGACATTGGACAACGCTATACTTTGACTTACTGCTATTTTAGTTTTCATGTACTAAGATCAACATGCTGTCAAATATAGCTTAACAGTGTTTGACTGTTCAGTGGCTAGGTCAAGTCTGCGTGAATTTAAAACTTGCCATCTCACAGTTACACATGCATGGCAGTTGCTGTCTGTATCAATTCAAGATTCATTTCATTGAATATAACTGATTGGTTTATATGTAAGGGTCAGAGCAGCTGAAATTAGGCTAGCTGCTGCAGAGGTCATTAATCTGTTGGAGGGCCATGATCTGATTCTTATCCATCTTTGACAAATATTAGCTGAATATCGATATGGTATGAAGAGAGTCATCCTGCCTGAAAGGAGCCTGAAGGACATAGTTGAAGAACCATCATCATTAGTACTGACTAATTTGTCAACTATGCAGATTATGTTATAGTTTGATGAGGCTATTTCTACAGTAAGACTCCACGTCCATGAACAATGTTTTTAATGTTAGTTTTTTATCCAATAGTTATTTTAAAATCATTATCTAACAATTTCATTTTTTTAAGCAGGGCTGCACCGGTTGGTTTCGCTGCACAATCAAGGTAATTAATCTTTCTTACAGTAATGGGTATTATGTTTGAGTTATTATATTTGGGTGATGTTAGACATGCTACTGAATAGCAGGAACATTTGTTAGTGAGGTCACGAAGAATACATGTTTGTGGAGTATCGCTTGATAACGAGATTTGCTAAATTTTTCTCTCGGTAACATTAGGAGAAGTTTTTTCTTTTCTCTAGCCGTAATCCAGATTGATCTTTCCTTCTCTAAGGGTCACATTTCTTCTCTTGGCCTCTGTAGCATTTCGTTTCCTTACCCCTAGCCTCTTTTGTATTTTACTTTCTAATTATTTTTTTAATAAAAAAACCCACATAAGATAACTTACTGATTCAGCAATAAATATTATATTAAATGGATGTCTACGGGTGTAAGAAGTTTTTCTGGTGTTTGTGTAACATTTAGCTTCCAGAATATTACATTTAACCTTCGCTAGAATGATAGCGTTGCTGATATAGTTGGTTATTGACCGATCTTCATAAATAAGGTAGCAGAAGTGGGTGGGGCTAACAGTGGTAATATGCAAACATCCCATCAAGTCCAGATTTCAAGAATTTCATTAAGCCAAGCCACGTTAACGTAGTGGCCGAATAGAAACACCACATTCATATATATCAGCAAGGGCGCTGTAGAGGGCTATCTGAATCATATTCATAAAGCATGGAATCTGATTTATCCTTAGAACTAAGCTGGTTAGTTTTATCAGAAATGCAAACCTCGTTTTTCAGACCATCCACCAAATTAGTATCCCTGTGTTTTTTGTATACACCCTTACTCATATCCAATAGCCCTTTCTTCAGTAGGCTTGCTAATTCCTCCCTAATTTGTACAAGGGGATGATTCGGCACAGGTTCCTGACCATAATAGGCCTCTCTGAGAACAACTGTTTGGGTGTCACTCTTCTTGGAAATATAGAATACACCAGGATGACGCTCAAACGCTTTAGTAAACTTCTGAGGAAGTGCCAAGGGTCTACGTAAGTTGCTGACATTCTTGCGCTCAGTTTGCTTATGAAGTGTAAGGTGAAGAAGCTCGTGGAAAACTCCAACTATCCTTTTCTCAGATACGTCAGTACGGGGATCCAAATGAGATGCATCGGTGTAAGGTGAAGTATAGGGGAGTTTCTGCCACTCTTTCAACCACTCCATGCATTTTCTTTTCAAACCAAAACCCCTGGTGAAACTAACTGGAAATGCTAAGGATCCACTTTTTATGTCTTCTGCCTTTTGTTGTAGAGAACTATTCCTCTGCAACTCTGAGATGGTAAGCTTGTCATCCCAAACTAACAATTTCAGCCCAACACGATCATCAGGAAGGCGAACATATGAGAACCTTTCAGGGTGATCTGGAATGAAAGAATGCTGGTAATCATATGGTAAACCCATGTCCCATTTTAACTGGTCAATGGTTTGTAGTGGAAGGACCTTATCACTAGTGAGCATAAGCAATTTGCACAGTCTATCCCTGAGTTCCGACTGACATTGCTGAAGGATGTTGATTTCCTTGTGATGGAGCTCCAAGGCTTCAGGACTCAAACTGAAACATGGGACAGGAGTCCCTCCACTATCAAGAAAACAGGACTCAATAAATATATTGGGATATCTTCTGATAAAGGTAGAGAGCTTGAGGTCACCGGGAAGACCAAGTTGTCCGCGATGGCGAGAAAGATGGTATATTGGAACGCAGCATTCAGAAGAAGAATATATGATGGAGACAAGGATCCCAGCTGCCTTAAGATCCCTTTGACCAGCAACAACAGCATCCAAAGTCCTATCTTTTACCCATTTCAACTTTATGTTCACCAGACTAAACCTCTGCTGGTAAATATATCCTTGTTGATAAGGGTGAACAAAACCAGAATTTCTTGCAATACCAAATAGCCGATTGAACATAATATACACTAATCGCGGATAGCATAGAGAGATTCCCTTTGCTCTTGTAGCTATCAGAATTCACACTTTGCATCAAGATAAGCTACTGCATATGTAAAATGTGGATTTAATACAATTTAAACAAAGAAAGATCTACCCACTAGGAAGGCAGTACCCAAAATCAGATTTGATCGTAAAGCTAGATAACAATTTTCTCAAAAACAAAATCACATGATTATGAGGTAATTATCATGGCATTATGACCCTTCAAAAACACATTTATTGACATCACTACAATAAATTAAGAGCTGCAAATGAGCCAACCGTAGCTTATTCAGCCCGACCAATGTGAGCTAGTGTGAAAAAGCCAAAATATATGAACTCTAACAACAAAGTGAGCTAGGACTAGCCCACTATAACAGAACACATTCATAATATAAAACCGGGGGGATCCCATATTAGATCAGCACGTTCAACATAGGCTGCAAAGATAGGTGTTGGTTTCGTCGCATTCATCCAAAACCGAAGAGAAGAAAATCCAAACAACGGAGATTGAAATAAAATGATTTAAAAAAGTAGGCTAATAAGGGAACAGAGAAAGAACCTGCAAGCCCTGAGGAGAGAGCAAGTGAATCTCGATGCGCGTGCATTTCCTGGATGAAAAAAGAAGTGAGAAGGAGAAGAAGAGAAAACCCTAGGAAAAGAGAAAGGGAATGGATGAATACGCGATAATGAGGTTGAGGTCTTGAGGACTGGTGAAATTGCCGACGCAGGAGTGAGTGACGTTGGTGGGTTTGTGAGCTGTGACCACGTAGTTCCATATACTCATCCTTCTCTTTTCTTCTCTTCTTCTGCGATTGCGAATTCAATGCGAACGCTGCAAGCACCTCTTTTTTTTTTTTTTTTTTTTCTTCACCCTATTTTTATAATACAAATATAAAAATTAATCATTTGATCTATTTCATGCAAATTAAAGTTCTACCTCAGTTTCCAATCAAAGGAATGATCAACATCATATTTCAAAATCTAACTCTATTATCCTTGAAGTCCGCATAACATCACAATATTTATAATTTCTTTCTAGTTCTGATCAATTATAAAACCTCAACATTTACCTCCTAGTTTTTGTATTGTATCGCAATTCACATCTAACAAATAAAGGGTTTTTATCTTCACTGTTCTTATATCACTACTTTCCATCCCATGGGTGAGGATCATCACACTATTGGTGACCATCTATATGGATGGATTAATAAAAAAACATTAGGTAAATTGTTTGAAATTTCATAACAAAACAAAACAAAACATGACTTGACTTATTTGGTTTAAGTTTATCAATAAAAAAATATTATGTAATCATGTTTGAAGTTTCAGAAATATTAAAGTTGCCTATTTTTTGTCACTTTCTATGTTTTCTAGAATCAAGAATCAACTATTTATGTTCGCTGTTATGGTTTCCTTTTATTTTATTCCCATGCTATTTAGGAACTTTTCTTCCATTTTTTTTTATATGGGGCATCGATTTTAACAAAAAGTAACAATATTTCATTTGTACAGTAATATATATATATATATATTATAAAATGTAAGAAAGCGTGGTATATAAATATTAGAGATGACAAAACGGATCAGATAACTCTATTTTTGTCCATTTGCCTTTAATTCGTCAAAAGTGAGATGGATTAGCCCACTATAGTTATGGCTGACTATAGATCTCGACCCATATTTCCAAGGGACAGATTGACTGACTGACTTGTCATATTTTTTATTTTATTATTTTTAAATCAAATTTTTCAATAAATAATAATAAAAATTATCATTGTCAACAATTTAATATATATATATATATATATTTCAAGTTAATAATATAAATTAATATATTATTTTAATAAATGATATTTTAGAACAATTAAATTAAGATAAAATTTATATAATAATAAATATATGTATGTAACGATAAAAAAAATATTAAATCTTTATTTTTTATATTGAAAAGTTCGAAATATATATAATTTTTACCTTATAAAAAATGATGAACAAGAAGGAAATGATGAGTAAGATGAGAGAGAGGTTTGTCTTGAAAAAGGAAAGTATTTCTCGTGAGTTTAAGTAATTATAAAATTTTTTGAATTCTATTAACGAGTGAGATACTGAGACTTTATGAATTTTCTTTATTAGACACTTGAACCTTCTAGAATTCTCTTTTGATAAATCTTTATATATGACATTTCGACTCTTTGTATTATATCATAATAAAAAAAATTATTAGTAAAGTAGACTAGTCCATCCTACCTGTGTGTTAGTGGGACGGACCAAAAGCGAGTTGACGGGCTAAAAATACTAACCCGCACTTACTATATTATGATGGGTTGGCCTGTCAGGCCTAATCCGTTTTGTCATCCCTAATAAATATATAATACTCAAAAAATAATTATATATATATATATATATATAATAATCAATTAGAAAACATAATTATTAGCAATAAATTAACTAAAACTCCGTGAAATATACAAAAATTTGATTATTCATATATTTATATATAACATATGAAAAAAAAAATTATATATATATATATATATATATATATAAAGAAATGAATACAAATTAATTAAGTAGATCAAGTAATTAGAAAAACTTAATAAGTTATAATTCAAATGGTATAAAAAATTATAAATTTATGTCATTATATATAATATAATATATATTGATTCATTGCCATATGTATATATACATATTATTCCTATATATAATACAAAATTTATTATATATAACATGCGAGATAATTATGCCAAATATTATAATATTCAATAATTTTTAACTAAAAGTTGATTCATTGGATTGAATTTATTTTTGACACAAATAATAAGTTATTATATTGTAAAGAATAGCATAAATTGAAATGATAAAATATATATAATCTATTGTAAATGATAAATGTAATGCATGCAATTAAGGTAATAAATAATTTGAATGAGTAAAATAATTGAAATCACATTAATTGTATATAAAATTATTGGTGACATAAGTGTGAACTAGAATCTTTGTGTCTAGGGCGAAAGATATTCTACTATACATCAACTTTTCTCATCCTTTGACTTCTACATGTTTCCACGTGACGCTTATTTTCTTCCTTCAACAACACTTTGCACTCAGCATGTGCATTCATTTTGCATTTGCCTACGTCATCTACAGAAGGAAAAAAAAAACTCTTTTAAAAATAAACAATTAATCATCAGGTACGAGAAAATTAGATAATACAATGATTCAAAATAAAATAAAAGTCGTCAATGGGTGATTATTTTTTTCCAAATATAGTACACAGTTTTCTCCCTCATTATTACTTCCATAATTTAAATTTATTGTTATTGTTATATTATCAACCATTTCGGATTTCAACATCATGCATATAGTCTTCGCTACAATTACCACACACTCAGTTTCTCTTCTCTTGGATCCTGCAAGACCAAAACCTAGGAAACGGGTTTCTTTATACATTCAATTTCTTAAAAACGCAGAGTCGTTTTGCTTTGACAGGAACACGTTGCACTGAGTACGATGGGAGGTGACGACGCGATTGACGGCGGAGTGCGGAGGCGGGGATGCACGTTCCGGCGAAACGACTTCTTCCCGGAGGAGTCGTTCAAGAGTTGGGGAAACTACGCGAGAGCTATCAGGGAGACGCCGTGGAGGCTGAAGGACCGCGTGCTGAGCCGATCGGAGGACCACACGGAGCTGGTGGAGATGAAGGCTCGGAGCAATCACGAGATGAAGAAGACGCTCAACTGGTGGGATCTTATGTGGTTCGGCATCGGCGCCGTTATCGGCTCCGGCATATTCGTCCTCACCGGCCTTGAGGCCAGGGCGGTGGTTGGACCAGCCGTGGTGATCTCCTACGTCGTTTCCGGTGTCTCCGCCTTGTTCTCCGTCTTCTGCTACACTGAGTTCGCGGTCGAAATCCCCGTCGCAGGTTCCATCTCTTGCACTCTCGCTATTGCCTTTCCTATTGGTTAACGATGAAAATAGTATTATTTTCATACAATCTTTAACAACTAATTGAAATCCTCATAAAAACAGTAATAACCCGTTTGAATATGTGTGTGTATATATATACATCTTAATTATTAAAAAGGTTAGTAATATTTTTATTTTATAAAAAAATGATTTGTTATCCACTAGCTTTTTAATTAAAAAAAAAAAGTTTGTTGTAGACAATATCAATTTTAGTAGGTGAATGTATATATTAGATGGTGTCCGTATAATTCACCGAGTGAGTGATGCATGATGAGTTTGTGATATTTGGAATTTGATTAAATTAGTGAAAATTATGGGTGAATCCTTGAATTAAGAAAGTAGGCCTAAAGCTGAAGAAAGGTCAAATGAGGATAAAACATGGATGACTTACATAGTAAACTCTTGAGCAGTTGGATGTATATAGTTGACTCTTAATTAATGAGTTGAGATGCAATGTACGATTTGAGCGGAATGTTTCTGTGCTCACGAATTAAACAAATTCATGCAGTAACGTGGTCCCAAGAAAAATTAAAATCCAGAGTCATTTTATTTTTATGGCGAGTGGTAGCCGAGAAACTAACGTCCAGGGAATATGAAAGAGACGAAGAAAGCGACTTGATGAGTCTAAATTAACCAAACGTATCGTCTAGGAACTCCTGTTGTCGGTCATGCACGTTTGATGTGATGTGATGTGATGTGATGTGTTGAAGTGCAATATGTACACACAATCCACGATAATACACTGGGTGCCTAATTTCACGAGAAAAATATGTTTGACTTTTCTGAAGTGTGAGAAGAAAAATGCTATGTGGTACTATTTTTTTTTTTTGTTACAACTAATAAGCATTTTGGCATGTTTTGACTTTGTCAGGTGGATCATTTGCGTACTTAAGAGTAGAACTGGGAGAATTTGTGGCCTTCATAGCTGCCGGAAACATCCTCCTTGAGTATGTAATCAGCGGCGCCGCAGTGGCACGCTCATGGACCTCTTATTTCGCCACCCTCTGCGGCCAACACCCCGATGACTTTCGCATAGTAGTCCACAAAATGAACCCTGACTATGGCCATCTTGACCCTATATCCATAGGAGTCCTCATAGCCATCACCATCCTCGCAGTGTACAGCACCAAAGGCTCTTCCGTCTTCAACTTCATTGCCACAATCTTTCACTTAATTATCATTGCCTTCATCATCATTGCAGGCCTCACTAAGGCAAACACCGAAAACTACACCCCTTTTATGCCTTTTGAAGTTCGTGGCGTGTTCAAGGCTTCAGCTGTTCTTTTCTTTGCCTATGTTGGCTTTGACGCTGTCTCTACCATGGCTGAGGAAACCAAGAACCCTGCGAAGGACATTCCCATTGGTCTTGTGGGCTCAATGGTAATTACCACCTTCGCATATTGCTTGCTAGCAGTGACACTGTGCCTCATGCAAAGCTACAAGGACATTGACCCAGATGCTCCCTATTCGGTTGCGTTTAGTGCTGTGGGAATGGATTGGGCTAAGTACATTGTTGCAATTGGGGCGTTGAAGGGAATGACCACTGTGTTGTTGGTGAGCGCGGTGGGACAAGCACGTTACCTGACCCACATTGCACGTACCCACATGATGCCTCCTTGGTTTGCTCATGTTGATGAGAAAACTGGGACACCCGTGAATGCCACAATCTCAATGCTTGCAGCTACTGCTGTGATTTCTTTCTTCACTGATCTCACTATTCTTTCCAACCTCTTGTCAATTTCCACTCTCTTCATCTTCATGCTTGTGGCTGTGGCGCTTCTGGTGCGCCGCTATTACTCAAGTGGGGTAACCACAAAGGAGAATAAAGTGAAGCTCATTTTGTGCCTTGTGCTGATTTTGGGGTCTTCATGTGGAATTTCTGGTTATTGGGCAAGCAGTGATGGTTGGATTGGATACGCAGTTTGTGTGCCGTTGTGGCTTTTAGGGACTGGGGTTCTTTGGCTTTTTGTGCCACAGGCAAAGCAACCAAAACTTTGGGGGGTGCCTTTGGTTCCATGGCTACCTTCTTTATCTATTGCTATTAACATATTCCTTCTTGGCTCTATTGATAAAGCTTCATTTACCAGGTTTGGGGTGTGGACAGGCATCCTCTTGGTATACTATGTGCTATTGGGGTTACATGCTTCTTACGACGCAGCAAAAGGGTTCGAGAGCCAAAAAAGTTCGGTGAATGTTGACAAGCAGTGGAACAAGGTGGAGGAAGGGACAGAAAGGGAAGTTCCTCATACAGCAATTTCACCTGATTAATGTGTAAAAAGTCGCCTTAACTACACAATGGCCTTCTCTGCAGATAATTTGTTTACAGTTATGTTATTCCAATTTGTGATGTGTAAACGAGTTTGTTATTTGTGATGCTGAATTATATATGTCGAGTGATAATCTTTAGACACCTCTCTGGTTTTAGTATAATTTATTTTTATGAACAAAATATATAATGTTAGTACAAAGGGTACTCAAATTCAAAAACAATCGGATGTCATGAAGAAAGAGTTTTCTAGACAAATATAAAAGAAGCAATCTAGGGGATAGAACACCAATCTGAATTGACAAAATTTCATCCTTTTCACACATGCCATAAGCCAAGACCAAGTCTTTGATGAAATCTAATACATAATCATCCTACAAATTAGTAATGATATTTAGACTAGTAACCTATTAAGAAGTAAGCATCATGAAAGTGCTACTATTTTCAAAGGAACTTTAAACTGTCAGAAGTGTTTGTGTTCATTAAACAAACATGAAAATGATAGCATACCAAAGAGGGTAGTGATTGGAACGTTGCTTCTGGTGCCAAAGGTTCCTGCTCAAGGGGGGCACAAGGTGATAAATGGGTAAACACAAGGTGATAGCATACCATGTCTTACATAGATAGATACATTTGGCATTATTAATCATTGTGCATGGAGTTTTATGATATATTATGTATTTATTTTATAATTTTTACTATTATTTAGTTTATGTAAACTCATTATCACGAAACTATGTTGTTTACAGTTTTTTTAACAATAAATATATTTGTAAAGTTTTAGATGTACTTTTTTCTTTGTTTACAAAATGTTGTGCATTTATATAATAAGAGATTCGATTGATCCAAACTAAATAAACTCGTTCTTAACCCAGTTGCTTTCATTTGGATTAAGCAACTTTTTTTACAATCCAAACTAATACAAAACAATGACATATTATCAATTTAAATTTTATTTACACAAAAAACCATTATTAATTCAATCCAACTTAACTAGGTTTCATTGTGTTAAGTCTTAAATTGTACCAAATTCAATCAACATGTGATGTTTGTATAAAGATAAATCTAATTATGTAGCATCATTCGCAATTTATGCAAGATGTTTTTTACTCAACATGACTCAAGATTCAATTCCCCACATCACGGAAATTCGTTGTTGTTTTTAAAATGTTTATGAACTATTAAATTTATCAGGATAAATATAAATTTGAACAAAATAAGTTGAAAAAATAAATTTAAAAAAATTGCAATTAAAACAATATGAAAATTCGTTTTATCTTAATTTTCTTAACATTTTATCTTTTCTTCTAGAATTAAAAACCCGTTTTCATTTGCTTTAACTCTTCCTTTTTCATCTATTAAAACAATCCTTCTTAGTTTTATTTTCCTTTTTCAATAAAAAAAAAACTAAAACAATTAAAACTTTCTAATAAAACTGAAACATATATTTGTATCCTCTACTGATAAACTAACTTTTGATTTTAACTAGTATTTTAGGCAACACATACATGTTTCAACTCAGCAAATTGTAAACCACAATAGAGACCTACAAAGCTTAATGTAGTGGCATATGAATTACATACATAAAGTTGAATGAGCTAAATCATGAGATTCACTACCATGGTAAAAGCAGAGAAGGGAAAAGGAAATATGAAAACTAAAGTAATCCATCCACCAAAGAGCAATTAAAAAAGGGTCTAACTTTAGATTTAGCATATGTGATATGTTCCCTTATCCTACTGGACTCATCATCTGCTCTAGCCAGTGTCTCCTTACAAGCACTCTCTTTATCACACACTGATTTTAACTGTGCTGTCAATGCCTTCTTTTCTGCTTCACATTGTTCCAATTCTATCTTCACACTCTCAATCACCTTTTTGTTACTATCTTTTCTCTCTTTCAGCATGCCACATTGTTTAAGAATCTGCCTTGCCTTGTATATCTCCTCCAACCTCAGGTGGAGCCACTCAATGTTCACTTTCATATTTTTCATTTCTTTTGCCAGATCAATCATGTTGTGAAGCCTATCGTCTGTGGTTTTATTCAGATCCTTGCCTTCCAATTCTGAGATCATCTCACATATTGTCTCCAACAAAGCCGATCGGAATTTTACAGTGGTTATCAAAGAATTCTCAAAAACATCTCCATGCTTAGTGAGAATTTTTCTTAACAAGGGTATGAATTCTCCCTTCACTTGGTATCCTTCAACTGTGTCCTTTGGTGAGCACTGTCCAACAGAATTAACCTCATCATCACCTTCATTGTCCCACATATTAACCATGTGAGTAAGGTTGAGGCTGAATTGTGAGGATGAATGTCCAACCATTGAAATAGTCTTGCTATTTTTCTTGTCCTCTCTTTCCCTAGAGTTAAATGATGCTTGAATACCCTCAGCCAAAGGTTCCTGCTCAAGAGGGGCACAATATACTTCCAATGCATTGTGCTCTTCCACTTGAGTTGAGTGACTAGCCATTTGATTCTCATACTCACTCACTTCCTCCATTTCAGCTTCATCAGCAGAATCTCCACCCTTTTCAGTCTCTTCATGTTTTGTTTCTTGCGCATGTCTTGGAAGGGATTCCAGTTCTACTAGAGAACAATCTGAATCTGAATCTGAATCTGAATCTGAATTTTGGTAAAGCTGCAGAATTGCATTTCTAGTTCCAATTATCTTGTTTGCTGATCTCAACCTCGCACGACAACCTTGAGAAATTACAGTGGAGTCTGGAATCAAACACTTTTTGGCAGAAGAAGGACCCTCCCAAGACTCTGACTGAAAATTAAACACAACATAGGCCAACAATTCAGAAATGGAAACATAGTTTATTTCCCAGATTGATTTGAGTGGTAGAATCATAAACTATCTATTTATTTCCATTTTCGTAATAAAATCTTTAACAAACTAACATCAAGAGTCAGTATGCGACTCACGCAGCTACTAATCAAACTAGTATTCAGTCCTCAACTTTAAATTAACAGAGCATTCCAGTCTTCTAAAATATGTAAAAACATGCATCATGTTGTGTTTATGCATGAAAATACATACCTGGTTGTTTGGAGAATAAGATTGAGAAGAATCCATATCTGGGACAAGCTTCCCCTTCTTTTTTGTGGTTCTTCTTCTTCTGGGCATGTTTGTTTGTTCTCGGAGCTATTTTCTTACTAAACTAACCTCGAAGCATAGCAGACTTGTGAAAATCCGAAACACAATAGTGCTGCGTGTGTGGAACTGGAAGGAGAAGCACAAAAGTACTTTTCAAACTCTGAACAAATCAATTCAAACTTGTTTTGTATCCAAAAATGTCTCTCACGCCTTTTTGAACATATACCGTAAAGGGAAAAAAAATCAAATTCATCAGAAAATCGGTTTGCTGAAACGGGAAAGTTTCTGAACACCTACACAGAAACTTTAAAAATAAATTTTAAAGAAAAATATTTTTCAAAAATAATTTTACATTCAGCATCTTAAATTCAGAATAATAAAGAACTATTCCGCTTTTTAAGAACCAAGGGGATGTTTATTTAAAAATAAATACGTGAATTAATCACTATTCTTTCATCAAAATCATCTTTTTCTATTGATCACATTTTTTGAATGAAATCTTAACTCAATATTCATTTAAACGCCAACTTCTACAAAATTTTAAACCAGTGACAAGACTTATTAAATATTATACCATGTTATATATAAATGACTTTATGTTCAAAATGAATTGATTATAAATTGTATATCGAAAGTTAAAAATATTTTTTATTATAAATACTCATGAAAAGAAATCTTAAATGACATTGAGGCAGGTACCTGGTAAGTCTGAATCTCTTTGGATAATTTTTTTCTTCAACCTCCAACAGGAAAAAAATATTTAGAAAAAGGTTTTCAATAAATTAAAATTAACTTACAAATATTTAAAAAAAAAAAGTTAATGTGAGAAATTTTTTTATAAATGAACTTAGGTATAAATTTATGAAAAAATTAATCTCATTTTTTTCTTTTTATTATCTTAAGTATTTATGCTAAAATGTATTCAAACATGCCCTCAACAATTTCTTGTTATCTCTTGTTGCAATATCCAATTTTGAAATTGCTTTTCCTTCAAATCCAATGCGTTTTTCATTTTATTTTTTGTCATGTCCACGTCTAGAAAGCTCACGGAACAATATACCCTAACATTTAATTAACATTCAGAGTAACGATTAAAGTGTACAAAGTATTAAAAAATTGGTCAAATTTCTAACATTACAAATTAAAAAATATACATTATCGATTTAGCATGTTGTGGTTTGGAACAAAATTTCAAAGAAAAATCAAGATCTATTAAATAGCATTAACGTGATTCTACCAAACAGCTCTCACTAACTTGATTTTTTATTTTTATTTTTCATTTTCAGGTAACTCATGATTTTTCCAAAAGAGAAGTCAGTCAACAGGCAGGATTTGAAACACAAGTAATGGCGAAAATGTAAAACATTTTCCTGAAGGTGTTTTTTCAGCAGCTTTTTTATTTGCTTACCTATAAAAGTCAAATGAGAAAATTTGTATATCTCAATTGCCAAAGCAGCTAGTTTTATCCAATTGCTTTTTTCAAATGACCAGTAAAAATCTATCATATCAGTAATTTCATCAAGCAATGCTTGGACTACATCAACAAAAATTACAGCACAAATGACCAACAAAAGCACAAGCTTCACAAGCCATTAAAGATATAGTAGCATTTACCGGTCTAGGATTTGAAAGTCAACATATAATCTGAATGAACCAATTGATTTAGGTATTGAGTACCAAGGAAACAAAGAAGCAGCCTCTGGCAATCACACAAAACAGGTTTTTATGGCCTTTTCACAACTTGTCCGCCTCATGTACATTCATACATACATTCCATCCAACTCTTGGATTGGAAAAATATTGATTTCAATTGAACCATTGCAGGCTGCAATATCATATATGTATTCATATACACAAACAATATCTTCCTGTGACAGCAACTCTGGTAATGCCTCGTGACATGTACTGTACCTTATATATGTGATGGTACTATTTCTTATCTGTTGTGACGCCAACAACAACATTGCTCACCTGTGACATGTCAACTTCTTTTAAGGAAACTTGCTATGCTAAAAAGCAACGGAAGAATCAGAAAGACAATACATGTCCAGATTAAAAATTAAAAGCAATAACAATTACCAATTTCCCACTTGAATCCACAGACATTGGATTTTCTACCACTACTGTTTGACTTTGAGATTGAGGCATTGACTGCAGGTATAAAAAAAAAAACATAATCAGCACAAAAAACTGCCAAATGATTACTATATATATATATATAGACAGAGAGAGAGAGAGAGAGAGAGAGAGAGAGAGAGAGAGAGAGAGAGAGTGAAATGAAAAAAGCATACTGTTGAAGTGGAAGGTAATGTTCCAACATTGGTTGTCCCATTGGGTCTATGGACAGGGATTGGCAGTCGTCCACTGTTCATCTACACAAGACAGGAAATAGGAGCAGAAGTGAAGAAACAGTACAAAAAATTAAACATACATGCATATATCAAATTCACAGGAAACAGAAGATTGACAATCACATAATTATACATTCAGCATATCATAACCCTTTACATATGCATGAAACATTGAATCAGTTTCTAGAATGTTAGCCAAGAGGTAGTGTATAAGTTGGTTTTAACACCTTATAGGCTCCCATCTTTTAGGCTGGACCCCACTCTCTGATAGAAAGCATGAGATTACCCGAATAACCATGTTCGTGAAGAATGAAAAGGACACAGATGGTGACAGTATGGACTAACAGAATACCTAAATATCTTCAAATTATCTAAAAATGAAAGCCTTTCCTGTTAGAAAACATAAGTCATACATGAATATTATCAGGAGTTTAACATTAGGTAGGATAAACTAATGGATGTAGGGTCTTAAGATCCTCCGACATAATGGACTAGTTTTTTAGGTTGTGTTAGTTGAAGTCTTAAAAATTGGTGTTTTTATTGAGAGTTGGACTATGGAAAAAACTACCTATCAGCTGGATTAAGGTGCAAACCAAATACTGACAGATGAATGAAGTCATATCAAGGAGAAAAGATCTACCACCAACCAAGTCAAAGTCAATATGGTGAAGCCACCATGGATGTCAACTCTTAAAAGAGGGTGGCGATGTTAGGAGTCCTACATTGAGTGGGATAAACTGCTTGATGTGGTACTAAAGCTTTGAGGTTCTCCCACTTAATGGACTAGCCTTTTGGGTTGAACTCTCCTCTTGTGTTTAAGTCCTAATAAATATCTACATGCAATATAGAACTGCCACATACCAAATTCTTTTACTGAAAAGTCGATGCTCAGATTAACATAATTCAATCAATAAAAACTTACACTGACATTAGTAATATAGTGACAAAGAGCACATTTGACTGAGGGAGCTCCATAAGGATACATGAGGGTTGTCCGACAGTTCCCACAATGGACATGAGCTACCTGATTAGATGCTTTATAATGAAGATACAAAGCCCATCAACTATAGTCAGTAAACAACTAATTGAATAAACACAGGTTATTAAAAAATAACAAGCAATTCATATTAATTGAACTGATATGAGTATAAGAAAACAGAAACAATTAAGGCAACATTGCATTAGCACCCACCATCTTATAGCATGACAACTAACATTTTAAGAATACTGCCAGGAATAAAACGGACTGAATGAAAATGACACTAAACTTGGACTAAAGCCAAGTAATTAATGTGCAATTCAAAATTATTAACATTGGAATTTCAGAATGACAATAAAAAAATTATTATGAAACGAAATTTTTTAACAAATAAATAAAATTCAATGCTGGATTAACAAGTAGCTGAATATACATCTTATTGCCAGTTATAATAACACTGTCGGATATTTAGGTCATTTTGATTAAGATTGCTCTTCTCCAGACTGTAAGCAACAGAAACGGGGCAAAGGACAAATGTAAAGAATCAACATATTCATTGATAAGGAAGAATTAAAGAATATGGCAGCGATTTTTTTTTTGGTTTGGGGGGGGGAGAGGGGATTTCTGACTATTATTTGCTGCTGGAAAATAAATTCACTAAAAGAAAAGGTTCAACATTCACAAAAAAAGAAATTGTTTCAGGCTTCCAAGCCATGCATTATTCTCATCCTTTTATCCATTTTGTTTCACTTGTGCTCCTCCAAGCTCTCCATTGTCCGACATTTTCATTCATCAGCTTAGGATCCCCAATCATCACCTTTTTGGGACAGCATTTTAAAAAAATAAACCTCATTCCAGCCAATACACCCAATAAATTCAAGGTCCTAACCAAGTGCCATAGATATAAAATGGGTTTTGTTTAGACCAAATCTGCTTGTACTTAGCTTCATTTTAGTCTTGCGGACAAGGCTAAGGATTAGACACTTTGAGGTCATACCCTAAAACCAAAAGTTATAGCAAGAAGCAGGGTGAGGGTCAAAAGCTCCTATAATCAATCAAGGTTATAAAAATCACAGACCCTTCCTTGGTAAGACAGGGCAAGTACCATGAAATGTTATATCCTACCTATTATCTAAACCTACATTCAATAATATATATGTACATATATAATGAGAAAAGACCCAATAACAATAAAATTGTGATAACAACTATTATATAATACACTTCAATCTTAAAAAGTCACGGAAACAGGATGCGGAGAATGAAAAATATAGACCCCAAAACCAGAATAGATGACATAACAGAAACTCAAATAAAAAAAAAAAAAACATATGCATCTTGACCATATATTTTGAATGAGACAAGAGAGTTAAATAAAATACTAAGAAGAACTCTCAGTCACCCTCCATCTCAGCCAACTCTCGAAGAAACGGATAAGAATCAAAGAAACTGTGTGAAATGTAAAATTAGGTTTTAGCTTGGGTGAAAACGGATCTCAAGGCACAGTAAAGAAGTTGCCATTTTAATATTTAGGGGTATATGAAAATCTCATGCGCTGGACTTTAATTTCTTTTTGCCCAAACCATCAACATGCCTCTGGTGGAAGACGCGTATGAATGAGTTCCAGGAAAAACAACCATAACTTTTGGCCAAACCACAGCCAATGGCAGCCATTGCTGTCAATGCAGTAGATTCTACAAATCTTCCAGCACCAAAGATAGATGAGTTCCAACGTAAATCACCAAGACTAAGCCCTCATCCTCTTACAACAAACTCACAAATAACCAGATGGCCCATTAAAATCTCTCCAAATCCATGTTAAAGGAATCTCACAAAATTTTTACAATCTTATTTTCCATTCTAAAGGAATTTAGAACAAAGAGAGATGGTAAAGGGCGATACTAGATGAGGAAGACTGAATTGAGGTCATATTATGACCTCCCTCAAAATTAGAAAATTTCTAATAATGTTGGAAAACCTCCATGCCCTCAAGTCTAACAAACAAAAGTTCATTAAGTCCTCACTGCCTTAATCAGCATACAGATAACTATACACACAGAAAGGATAGACAGGAAATAAAAATCACCTTAACGCACCCTTGCTGACCCCTTCACCAGGATTTGGTAACACCATTCATGATTAACCATATTCAACAACCAAGTAATCCAACAAATTATCACCACAATTATAAAATAGAATATTCATATTGAAAAGCAAATCAACACACAATCCACCAAAATCAATACTAGACCACCAACACTCAGTCACATGTCTGGCAACATACTAAAAAGTAGTACCTGGAACAAGGTTTACAGTGTGACAGCAGGAACATCTCACACTTGTAGCTCCACGAGTGTACATTAGCAACGTCCTACAGCCTCCACAGTAAAGTTGAGACATTTCCATCCCTGCACGAGCGTTATTATGGTAAAGATCCTCATAATAAGCACCAATGGAGTCTTGGGTAATCAAAGCATCAATGCAAATACTAAATCCAGCAGGTAACATGGTTAATTTCTAGCCTAATCTTTCACGTCTGTTCCAAATTGAATAATTAACATATACGAGAAGATAATAATGACAGGGCAACATACCGAAATATAAAGTGTAAGTCTCTAATCTTAAACTTCAGTAACAGAAAGACCAATAAGCTTACCAGGTGGAGGAACAGAGGTAATCGTGTTGCACAATGCACAACAAACATTGGTTGCCCCTCTCGGGTAAAGCAGAAGGCTCCTACAACCATTGCACACAAGTTGGCTCTGCATATCTGCAGCGTTAAAGACCATTCACCACCAAACTCAACCAAAACGAAACCATACAATACAACCCCCAGGAGTCAAACACAATTGAACCAAAATCACAATCATTCATCCCCACTAATTTGTTTTACAAAGGGAAACCAGACCACGAATGCCTGATCCAAATCATAAACATTCATCACCAAGAATCAAGACGTTCGAACTTTGAATACATCAAACACCAGAAAACAAAACAACCAAATACAAATTATGTTCCGATACCCCAACAAAATACACCCCAATATAAATAATAGAAATAGCAAAGGATCTGAAAATACCTGTGTCCCTCGACCCTCCTGCAACAACCGATTAGGAAACTAAGTCAAATAACAAAAACAAGAAATCAGAAACAAGGAAATCTTTTATTTCTTCGGAGAAAACGCGGTTGTGAAGGGTAGAAAAGATTGAAAGAGGAATGAAGAAATCTGAAGATATATGCGCACTAAAGAGGTTGAGGTTTGAGATTAGATTCTCTTTGGAAAAGGGAAGAAGAAAATCAATCCAACCCTCTCTCTCTCTCTTTCTCTCTCTCTTCAATTTCTGCTACCAATATTTCCTCGTCATCTTCTCATCCCACACACACTTTCGGAAATTTCTCCAGCGACTATTAATCTACTTTTCTAAAACATCACAAAAAAGTATAAAACATTGCTATCTTTATTTATTTTATTAATCATACAAAAAAACTTGGTTAATTCGTTGTTATTCTAATTTATATATAATAAAATAAGTTAATTTCATCAATAACTTCTTATTTTACATTACATTAATGAAAATAAGGCTACCTTTCAAGGTGTTGTTATTTTTTCCATCACAAATACACTAACAAAAAAATATGAAAAAATTTATGAAAAATATGTTCAATACTTTATCTTTTAAAAAGAATAATTACTTAGACACACGTTCAGTAAAAAAAAAAGTTTTAAAAAGTGTTATCTATATTTATTTTTCGTGATTTTTAACACATTTTAATGTAACTATTATGTTTAAAAGTATCCGACTCCACCAAATAAATATATGTAATTTTTATTTAAATAGTTAATATATCTAAAATTGAAATTATTTTTTCTTTAAGATTAAACCGAGATTAAAAACGCTAAAATATATTAAACTTGTTCGTAACGCGTACGCAAATTGTACCTTGACCGCAATCCAAAGTCACCTATTTTTTATCCTTATCTCAATTTAATCTTGTTCATATTTATATTAATATTAACATTAATATTTATAAAATTTACATAAAAAACAATCTAAGTCAAATCGAAAACCGCGTTGAATTTATTCATGGTGACGACTGATTTATTGAATAGCGTTTAATAAATAAATAAAAAAATCTCGTAGCGTGATAAAATTTGAAAAGTCGAAATTTCAAATTGTTTTAACGTGCTTATAAACAAACATATCGAACTTTTGTAAAACAAAATATATGGCAATTTATAACAAATATATTCAAGAAATGGTTTATTTGTTTGATAAGAGTGGATTCAATATTATAAAAATATAAAATATAATCGGGTTGGAAGGAAAAATCTTATCAAAATAAACTAAATAAATTGATTAATTATAAAATATATCTCTTTGTAATTTATTTTTTTAATTACCTAAATTTTGAATTCGACCAGAGAGCTCACTCAAATAAGATCCAAATAATAATGAGCCTAATAATTTATTTGGATAAAAAATGAATTAAAATGATAGATTTATAAGGAAAGAGACGTTTCTTGAATTAAGGAAAAAATTATAAAAAGTGTACGAAAATTAAAAAAAATGAATGATTTGATAAATATAAATAATAAAAAAATGCAGAAATACCAAATTACTTTTTTAATGAAAATTGATTTTTAATATTAAAGAATTAATTATCTGTCGGAAAAAAAGAGTAGTTAATAAAAGCATTCATAGGAGTTGCAGTACTCAAATATTTCTCACCAATAACAACAACTAAATTAAGTTGGTTCGACAACCTTAAGAATTCACAGATAGAACCCACGTTTGGCTCCTTAGACTTAACAAGTTTTATGGTTGATCGATTCTGGTTTGTTCTCACTATAATAACTCATCCCTCTCCTTACACCATTTGCATTATCTACAATCATAGTTGCAGAATGGCCTCAGAAAATGGAGAAAAACTAGACCTTCGTTTGAACATTGTGTCTGATACCAAGCAGCAGAAGGAGTGGATCAGTTTGTCCCTTAGGGTGGTGGCGTTTGTGGCCACAGCATCTGCTACACTTATTATGGCACTCAGCAAACAAACCAAAAGCTTGGTAGTGGCCACCATTGGCACAACCCCACTAACAATTGCTCTCACTGCTAAGTTTCTCCACACTCCAGCTTTTATGTTAGTTCCACAAATCATGATATAATTTCCCTTTTTCTAGTTTGCAATTTTCTTAACATTGCAAAAGATGCTATACATATGTTATGACCTTGGTCTTTGTTATTTATGGTGAGGCAGATTCTTTGTGATAGTGAACAGGGACTTCGTCTTGGTCTCATTGCAATATTAGACGTGGTAACTACTTCAATTGTATTCACATAATATATCTGAAGTTGATTTTGGACCTAATTTGACTAAATATATACCTTGGTGATGAAGATGGCAGTGGCTCTAGCAGCAAGTGGAGATGGTGCAGCAAGTTTCATGGCAGAAGTAGGAAGGAATGGGAATTCACATGCAAGGTGGGATAAGATATGTGACAAATTCGAAGCATACTGCAACAGAAGTGGGGTTGCCCTAATTGCCTCCTTCCTTGGCATCACTCTCCTCCTCGTTGTTAATGTCATCTCCATCACCAAGCTCTTCAAGCTAAATCGCATTTAATGCATATCACCATAATATTATATCCTGCATTATTTTCTTTATTCACTAGTTTCAGTGCCATGTATCTAGTTCTGTCAAACCACAAATAAATTACATTAAATTTTTATGAGTTTTGTATACAATAGAGTGTTGACACTATAGAATTAAAAAAATTATATCGAAGTTATTGTAATAGTAAATATACCTATTTCTTTTTTCTTTTTTTTTTACATATTTTCTTCTCTCAATATATTTTATTACTTTTTAAATATATAAATCATAATAATTACTTTTTTAAAATTATAATATGTTTATTTTCTTAAAAAACAATTACAAAAGAAACTTTTATTTTATATAACTAATAAAATAATATTATAATTTAAAAATAATTAAAATCTAATATTTAAAAAATCTTAAAATAATTACTAAATATTAAAAATATAATTATAATTAAAATAAAAATTAGAAAAATTCTTATAAATAAATAAAAAGGGATTGTTAGAGATAGTAAAATGAGACAGTTCGTCTCGTTTTTGATCCATAAAAAACAAGGTGATTAGGTTGACTCGCTATAGTAATGATGGATTGAAAACCTTAGTTTGTCCCATCAAAAGTTGATTGACGAGTTGCTTCAACATAATCTTTTAAAAAGTTAATTTTTTTAAATTAAATTTTTTAATAAATTTAATAATAAGATTATCATTTGTTTGTCAATAATTATATATATATATATATATATATATATATATATTTCAAGTTAATAATATAAATTAACACATTATTTTAAAAAATTATAATTTAGAACAATAATAAATATATATAAATAACATAAAAACTTATAAAATTTATATTTTTTATATTAAAAAATTCAAATATCTATATATTTTTATTTGATAAAACTTGACATGTTTTTCCTTAAAAAAAATTTACACCTTTAATTCAAGTCAAGAACAATAAATGTTTAGGATGAATAAAATAAGATGACAAACTAGAAGGAAAATAAAAAAGAGAAATTTGTATTTGAACATGGAAAATGTATTTTATAATGAGTGAGAGTAAGATTTTCTTTAATTTTATTTTACAAATTTTCACTTTATATTATTTTTATGATTAATTATATTAAAATAAAAAATAATTTTTTTATTAATTAAATCGATCGCAAGCCCAACTGGGCTTATGGGCTAGAAGAGACTGTGGACGGCCCCGCCGACGTGACCCATTTTTCATTCCTATGTTTCTACACATAATCCCATCCTTTTTTTAATAATATAATAATGTTTTTCTTTCTAATTTCATAAATGAAACGGTGCGTTACAATAAAAATAAATAATATATATTCTGACATAATTTTTCATATTATTATTCAACTATAATCTAAATATTATCTTAAAAATATTGAAAACAATTTTAACTAATTAAGTATGTAGAAATCTTTAACAATATATAGTGAATAGATGCACTCTTTTTCAGCATCGGTTAATTAAATTTATAAATAATTTTCTAACAAATTATCTTTAACACATTAGTTAAAAAATATATAGATACATTAAATAATTTTAATTACAATCTTTCTATGCATATACAAATATTTGATATTTATTTATAATTACAGTACAAATATGATTTATTTATTATAATTTTTTTATAAAATAATCTTTTATCTATCAAATCAATATTAGAAAAAAGACACATTCAAATTAAATAATTTAATAAAATAACTGAGTATTTATTCGTAATTAAAATAACTGAACATTTATTATTAATAATATTTTACTTTTTCCTTTCTATCACATTACATCACATTGAAAAATAGATTAAAAAAATATTAAAATAAAAAAAATGAATGAGACATGGCTTGAAATATTTAAAAACATATACAATTAATTGAAATTCAATATTGATTGAAAAAAAATAAAAAAAAATCATTAGTTATCATTTATTATAGTTCTCCTTTTCTCTTTCTTCTATTTCATTACTAAAGAAAAAAAAACATTTACTTTTCACATAATAATGTGCGGCTGATACTTTGTCACTTCATTTATTTATTTTTTTTATGTAAAAATTATATATATATTTTTTATATAATAAATTATACTTTTCATTAATGACTGTATTTCAGTTATGTAAACTTTTTATTAAAAAATATCAAATTCCAAAAATACCCATAAATTATTGATTGGACAAACCTACCCTTTTTTAGGGTTATAAAGTTCTAGAGAGTCAAGAAAAAGAAGATAAATAAATTCTACTCTCAGAATTCATAAAATTCATGAGAGGTTTGTTTCTTCTCCCTCTACAACATCACAACATTTATAATTTTTCTTAAGCAACCACTATCTCTTTGGTGAATTTTTATCTTTCTTTCATATTTTGATTTTTTTTTCTTCCATGAAGTGAATGAATCATCTTCAATCAAGATCTACAATTGAATATGACATAATTGTTGGAGATCTACAAAGTCAAAGGTATGATAGTTCTCTACTATTTTTAATAATTGGATTAATCTTTGTTCTTTCTTTTTGCCAATTTAATTTTCTATATGCTTTGAATTAAGAAAAAGGTGATAACTTTTTTATATTTTGTTGTTGATTCTTAAATTCTTTTGAATACAACTATCAAATGTAGTAAAGATGGTTGCAATTGTGAGGTTTAAAAAATATTCCCAAATTTATATGATTATTTACGTAATATTTTTAAAATTTGTAAGTATTTTGATTTTTTATAATTTTTTTCCTATCAGTCATAAATATATTATTATACGAAAGATATATTAAACAAAACGTTAATATTTAAGTCGTTTTCATAAAATATTTTTTTCAATGTTATTTAAAAATACTCGTACTCACTATTATTTTAATAATACGTTTCAATATAGAATTAAAGTTTCAAAATTGAATGATGGGGATATTAAATTCAATTGATTATCAATTTTTCATTTGCAAAATAATTTTTTATGTGTTTTATTTGTGCAATGGAGAGTGAAAATTCAGCATGAAAAATCAATGAATAATTAAAGCACATTTAGTTGATTTATTTGGAACATAACACTGTCAAACGTGATAGGCATGCTTTGAGGTTTTAGGAGGATATTTCAAAATTTGAACAAAAAAAGTAAAGAGTGAATTTAAATAAATAATTATATATGTCTGCTATTTTTGGTTTTATTTTATATATATATTTGTGTGAAAATTTTATTTTGTAAATCATTCATAAACATATCATTAAATGATGACTGAGAATATTTCACATTTCTTAAAAAATTAATTTTATTCTTTTATACTCTCTCTCTCTCTCTATATATATATTATATATTTTCTCGTTTTTTTTTCTCTTTTAATATATTATACTTTTTTTTCTATCTCTTCTCTTTCAAATTCAAATGCACAAATTTAGAGAAAACATTAATTTTTCTTAAACTTTTTAAAAAGTCACCAGTATTTTGTCGTATTTTACGCCGTATTTTATTATTACTTTTATTTCATATTTGTATTTATATTTTATTACCACATAAATATATCCTGTGTTCATTATGTATTTCAAAGAATGAATTCATTTTTTTTACAATATTAGATTAAAAAGATAAAAAATTATATTTTAAAAATAATTAATTATATTATTTATATTTTATTAGTATTTATGTTTTATCATTTATTATATTTTTACATAATGATAGATTATATATTTTTTAAGTTCTTTGTATGTAACTCAAGAAATATTTACATGTCTATATATTGTTTACAAATATATATTTTTTTAACAATTTTATTTTTAGCTGGCTTAACATAAATATTTTATGATTTTTGATTATTTTTTAACACAATTAGTCATAATACACAACACTTATGCAAATCTTGAAATTTATAAATCTTAATAAAAAATAAAATTATTCTGATTAACTGTGAGTTTCTCCTTCAGAATTAAACTATAAAATTATTTATATATTTACATTTTTCAATTTATTAAACATAAAATTATGACGAATTAAATACCGTAAATAAATGTTATTTTATTAAAAATACATATTTATTGTTTCTAATATTTAATATTATTATTTATTAATAAAATGATAAAAAATTATACCAATAATCAATTATTTTATATTAAAACTTATATCTCCTTTCTTTTTCTTTTTTTATTTTTTATTTTCCTCCATTCAAATCATTGTTCTCCTTTCCACCATGTTTTTTCATCCTACAAACTATTTCTCTCTTGTCTGACGAACACAACATAAAAGGAAGTTGAAAATTTTTCATGGATAAAAGTGGTACAAAACCCTAGTGATATTTGTCATTGTGATTAAGTGATGTTTGGATAATGATACTAAATGTATCATTAGAAGCAGAGGACAAAAGTTGGAAACGCGATTTTGCTGTGGAATTTGGAGAAGCAGAAAAGCCAACGTGTAAAGCAACCAGACTCGCAACAAAACGTGCTATTCATTCTCAGGTTAGTTGCTTTGTTGGTTTGCTTCGTAGTTCTCGGTTAATACTGTGTGCATTACACAAAACACTTACGTTACAACGAGTTTTTATTTTTTTATTATAAAATCTATAAAAATAATTCTCCTAAATTTTTTAAATATTTTTTGTTATCAGATCGTATATTCATTAGTTGGCATAAAATATATTTAAATTATTTATAGGAATTAGTATTAGGGATGACAATTAAACCCGTCTCCGTCTTGAGTTTGACGGAGAAAACCCGAGTTGACCGGAGGCGGGGTGGGTTCGGGTTTTCCCGCTTTAAAAAATTAGGAGCGGGGTGGGGGCAGAGATGGGTAATGCAATTAAAATGTATATTTAATTAATAATTATTATAAATTATAAATATTTATTTATATATAAAAAATAGATAGTAAAATTAATTTATTATAAATGTAATTATCTTTTTAAAAATAATATAGATGGGAGACGGGGTGGGGACGGGGAACCCGAAACCTAGCGAGGACGGATGAAAATTTAATTTCTAACCTCGATAGGGATCGAGAACGGGACGGGGTGATTAAAAAAGTCGGAACGGGACGGGAAACCCGCCCCTGCCCCGTTGGCATTCCTAGTATTCCTTTCAACGCAATTTTTATTTTTATTTTTATTTTTATATTATCGGTGTTGATTGTTTCTAACTATGTATTCAATACAGGGTAAAAACAAAAAAAATAAAATTAGTGGTTGAATTTAAGAAAAGTAAAGTAAAATATAAAATAATAAAATTGTTTGATATTTAAAATGACAATTAATTTTATTTTATTATTGTTATGATCATAAGAAGGAAAGTGTTGAAGTACACTTACACGTCTTTCTGTGTAGAATCTTAGCTGCTGCCACAGCAGACACCAGTTCACTTTCTTTCGTGTCTGCATATTTTCTCAAAGATATAAAAATATATATATTTTTCTTTTGCAGAAAAATAATAATTAATATTGGTATCGTTTTATTCGATAGAAATATTTATTATCATTATTAATGGAATTAAAATATTTTGTAGTGTAGTGGAGGTGTAACCACTGTTGAGTTTTCACCTGGGACTTTGTATCCATCCCATTAATTTCAATAACAACTATTAATTTAATTTTGTTTCCCATTCCACCTGTCATCATAGATTATATCTTTTCTAAGGCCACTCTATTCTTTTGTTTCTATTTTTATCTTTCCTGCTTCTGCAGCTATTTGATTTTGGGCATTACAATTTAGAATCTAAGATTTGTAGAATTAGTTTTTTTTTTTTCTCTTTGCAATTTTACAACAATTTTTGGGTTACATTGATTGGTAAATACTTAGATATAACAAATAATAATACATGCATACATGCAATTGAATTTGCATTTGGGTTTGATTGATTTGTGAAGGGATTTTCTTGGTTAATTCCTTTGTACGCAACTGCTGTGTTTCCCTGCAGAACGTGGAAACAACTTTTGGGGAAGGATTTTGCTGGCATTGAGTACGTTTGTGTTCTGCATTTGTTTTTTTCTTTTTTCTTTTTCTTTTTAGCAGTTTTTAAGGTTTATTTGGGGACAGTTAGTTGGGTAATAGATAAGTGGGAAACTGTTTTGTGAAATGTCTCTTTGGTTAATTGGGAGTCTGATAAGGTTAGTTACAATGGTCTCTGTTCTTGTTTCAGGCTCAATAACTTATTCATTTTGGGTTTATCCTTCATTTTGCATTGAATGAAACAGTGGAAATTGGCTGCAGAATCTCACGCTATAGAGGTTGGTTTTTTCTTCCTTCTATTCCCATTTGGTGATTTAAACCTTCACAATGTGTATGTGTTCTAGAGCCTTTTTATCATCTGCTGCTCCTCTGTTGAAATTTTCTACCTTCTGTTATTATGGATCACCACAAATTGCAGATCTTTTCCTTGTTCATGAAGTTTCAAAACTATTGTTATCTTTGTGTATCCTTTTCTTTCTCTCTTTCCTTCTAGCCTTTTCTCATTATGCTTAAGAGTTAAGAAATTGTGATGGTGTGTTTAAGCCTGTGATAGTGATTGTTGTGTCATGTTTGATACATGTAGTTTAGTTCCTGTGCTAATTTTTGCTCCCCAGGATTTTACCCAGGAATTGTATACCCTTCATTTTTTATTGTTGGCTGGCCTTCAAATGTCATGACTTCTTTCGCTTTTGGGGTTTGGAAAGATTTGAATTTCTCACCCTGGTGGTGGTGACTAGTTTGTTTAGCTTTCTTGAATGTTGCATGCTTGGCATTGAATCGCCTAATCTTTTGATGGTTCCGTTTTTGTATTGAATGCATTTATATTATTTGGTTTCCAGAGCATTGCATGAATTTGAAATTTGAACATACTAATGTAATGCTCTATCAGTGTATCTTATTAAAGCTTGAAGTAAGAGGTAGCTTTTGTTTTGAGCAATAAAAATGTGGTTCACTAAATTTAGGGAATCTTTTTATTACCGTCTGAAGTGTTTTCATTCAACTATGATGTAAGTAACCTGAATGTTGCAAAAGTACAATAACTGTTATGCTTGATGCCGATTTTTTTTTCCCTACAAGATTGCATCTTGTTATCTTTTAATTCTGAGAGCTACATCCAAACTTGCATCAATATTGAAGTCAGTAATGCTCCTTTTTCATTCCTTTGATAATCGATTTTTGGAAATTTATTTGAGGAAGGTTATGCAAGTAAGAGGTCCGACTTGAAGCCTAAAAACTGTCTCATGGCATACATTGCTGATAGCTAACCAGTGTAAGCAAATGAAGGGCGTAGATGTTGTATAACTTGTTTGAGAAGGTTCGATGGCCCTAATGGTATGATTGCTGTTCTGGCTTTGCCAGAAACTCCAGAATTTCCACATGATTTCTTGCAGGTGTAACATAAATGTTTGAAATTAAGCTGTCACAGTATTTGAATCAATCCTTTGGAAAGGCCATTTTGCGTTATACTTTGCTAGACTTTGATGTTTCTCCCAATCAATTTTTTTTGAGTCAACATATTTAGCGTTCTTACATGTGATATTTTGCAGGATAATCTTCTTAAGGATAAGCCAGAAATGGAAATCAAACTTGAGTCTTCTGACAGCCCGCAGCATAAAAAGGTATTTAGCATTATCTGTTGTGCCGTGAAGGTGTCTCGGTATACTCAATGAAGTCAGATGCTGATTTCAGCCTTTTATTATATATCCTATGAATATCAGTGAGCATATTCAGAAGTAAAATTGATTTGATAATTACTGAATATATTTATTGTTGTCACGTTGCAGATATCAGCCAGATGGGATCCAGCTCAAGCATGTCGGCCTATAATTGATGAAGCACCTGTGTTCTATCCAAGTATTGAGGTGCTTATAATTATCACTATCATAGTATTATAGCTGTTGGTGGTGGTTATATTGTATTTTAAATAAACTTTTTTGTTTGTACCCTTCTTAAGGAATTTGAAGACACACTTGGTTACATAGCTAAGATTCGGCCCCATGCTGAACCTTATGGCATATGTAGGATTGTCCCTCCAGCTTGCTGGGTACCACCATGTCCTCTTAAGGAGAAAGATTTGTGGGAAAATGCAAAGTTTCCGACTCGTATCCAGCAAATTGATTTGCTTCAGAACAGGGAGCCCATGAGAAAGAAAATCAGGGGAAGGAGGCGAAAACGTAGAAAGCTATCAAAGATGGGCATGGGTAGGAGAACTGCCAAATCAGGTTCTGAAGCTAACGTTGGTTCTGAGCCTGACGAGAAGTTTGGATTCCAATCAGGGTCAGATTTCACACTTGAAGACTTTCAGCAATATGCTAAGGTTTTTAAAGATTGCTACTTTGGGTTGAATTATGCCAATGAATATGGAAAAGTTAGCAATTATAGTCACCAGCAGAGATGGGAGCCCTCTGTGGAGGACATTGAAGGTGAATACTGGCGAATAATAGAGCAACCAACTGATGAGGTTGAGGTAATAATTCCGCTTCATTGATAACACTGTTACTCTTACTTACTGTCACATAACTAAGCGAAAAATTTATATATTATTCTGTTGTTTTATAGGTGTATTATGGAGCTGACTTGGAAACTGGGTCACTTGGAAGTGGTTTTCCTAAGACTTCATCCTTCACTAAGAATTATTCAGATAAATATGCCGTGTCTGGCTGGAATCTGAATAACTTTCCGCGACTTCCAGGTTCTGCATTATGTTTTGAAGGAAGTGATATCTCAGGAGTTCTAGTTCCATGGCTGTATGTTGGAATGTGCTTTTCCTCATTTTGCTGGGTAAGTAGTGAGAATTACACTTCCATAAGTATAACTATTAAAGAAACAAAGTTTAAGGCATAACAGATAATACTACTGGTTTTCTTTTTAGACACTTTCTGTATCTGACTGTCAAGTAACAGAGTTTAAGTTATTTTCATGAAAGCTTGGGTTAAAGTTTTAACATCTGTTTGTTTTATATAAAATATAATTTAATCTAAGGTTAGAGAATATAAATGGCTAGAACTAGTATTAGACATAGAGTCAATCTAGATAGGGGTCACTATGAACTGCTTCATTATCTTAGAGTTCTAGTTCCACTGCTTTATGTGTATTTGTTTGAAATATTGAGCTATAAAACAAGTTAAAATGCCTTGAATATGCATTTCTTTTGTTTCAGATCTTCTTACATTCCTAGAAAATTTAACACCTTTTTCTCGCTTCTTTCTCCTTGGAACAGCATGTTGAGGACCATCACCTCTATTCACTTAATTATCTGCATTGGGGTGACCCAAAAGTATGGTATGGAGTACCTGGAACCCATGCTCCAGGTTTGGAAGATGCAATGAGAAAGCACTTGCCTGATTTATTTGAAGAACAACCAAATCTACTAAATGAATTGGTATACTGCTCGAATTGTACTTGCTCCTTGATTTTCAGTTTTTTGGTTGCTTTCATTCTGTTTCCATATATAGATTTCATAAACACAGAGATTCTAGTTTATGCTAACCATGTATTTTGTTGGAAGTTCGCTAGGAACTTTGAATGCACTTGTTTGAAATTTAAGAAACTAAAACCATGATGACATTTTGAAATCTTTAGTGTCACTTTCTTGTTTATTTATATTCAGGACACTCTGATTAGTTTAGTTTGTCATACTTTTATATGTAAATATATATAGTGGAAGCTAGAGTTATTGTGTATATCTACTTGGTGAGATAAGATCCCCACCCCCGGTTCATTCTGTGTTGGAGATGGAAAGCTATTCTTTTTCCTTGATATAGTATTTGAGCCACTATGAGCATCAAGATTTTTATCCTTAGTGCCCCCGTTCTAGGGTATGAACTTGTTTCATAATACCTGGTTATGTTTTGTATTAATTGTATGTAAACACTTTAGATATTTCCTCTCTAGAGAAGCCTTACTAATATGTCCAGTGACATTAATTGGTGCATGTTGTTGGGTTTGGGTTGAACCTGTTAGCCTGTGCCCAATGGCTCGAATACAGAAAGGCCTGCCTCTGATGCAGAGTGTTATATGTTAAAAGTTGTGTGACTGCTAACAGCTTAGTCTTTTGGCATGGTGATTAGTGTCCATCATCATATCATTTGGAATTAGAGTCAACATGAGTTTAAATCACAATATGTTTCTACTCATCTTAAGGTTCGATGAACTGATATGTCCTAAGGGTCGCAGGGTCAAGTTCAACCTGGTGGATTAAATAGGGAATGGTCAGCGTCTAATGTTGGATGTTATATGTCAAAAAAACCTTTGCTAATATATCAAGCTTTTGGTATGATGGTAAACGCTCTTGGTCATATCACCTGCACTTGTCAAGTTATCCTTAGTTCCTTACAAGTCTATTAAAGATTTTGAAATTATTAGTTTAATGTTTTGTGACCTTTCTCTCATTATGTAGTATGCTGAACTTTAACAATTCTACCAAAATGACACTGTCTTATCTCCCCAAATCTCTTAGCACATCTATTCATCTCTCATAGAAGTCTTACATATTTTAGTACACTTTGTGTAGAACATGGTTTTGGAGTTGGGTTATGATTCTAGTGGTTATGATTTCTTCTTTGAGCAGGTGACTCAGTTATCTCCTTCAATTCTTAAATCTGAGGGGGTGCCTGTGTATCGCACTGTTCAGAATTCAGGGGAATTTGTTGTTACGTTTCCAAGGGCATACCACTGTGGCTTCAATTGTGGCTTCAACTGCGCAGAGGCTGTGAATGTGGCTCCTGTTGATTGGCTTGTGCATGGCCAGAATGCTGCCGAGCTTTACAGTTTGCAGTGCCGTAAGACTTCATTGTCTCATGACAAGTTATTATTTGGATGTGCTCAGGAAGCCGTGTGTGCCCTTGCAGAGCTAACTCTTCATGGAAAAGAAACTCTAAAATATACAAAATGGAGTAGCGCTTGTGGGAAAGATGGAGTTCTTACCAAGGCAGTTAAGGTAATTATTCTTGCGTACTCTTCTTTATCTTTGATCCATACCACATATTATTATTATTATTTAATTTTAGTTCCTATACTGATATCTATCTGTTCATTTCATTAGTACTTTTTCACATTTTTTTATCCTTATTTCTGACAGACAAGGATAACTATGGAAAAGGAGAGGCTTTACGGTCTTCCCACTCATTTAAAAATGCTGCAGATGGACACTGATTTTGATTTGTTAGAGGAAAGAGAATGCTTCTCTTGCTTCTATGACTTGCACCTATCTGCCGTAGGTTGCAAGTGCTCCCCCGATAGTTATTCTTGTCTCAAACACTCACATTTGTTTTGCTCATGTGAAATGGGCGAAAGGTTTGTTCTGTTTCGTTATACCATGAATGAACTAAGTACATTGGTTGAGGCGTTAGAAGGAGAAGCACATGCTATTGAAGTGTGGGCGAATGGAGGTAAAAGATCAACATATTGGGCAGGAACCAATGATAAGTCAAACTCAAATATACCTAGCATTTCTGTAGAATTAGGCCACTCACAGTTTCACCATGAAACTTATAGTGCACCATATGGCGCTAAAAATTGTGGCAAAGATAATGTGAATGAAAAAAGTTTGGTCTTCTATAATGAAGATAAGATGAAGGGAGGTTCTCTGGATTTGAATATTGATGTTATGTGTGTGGAACCTGAAAACTATTTTCTGCATGCTGCTGAATTTCATCATAACAATAAGGGTGATCCATATGTTGGAAAAGTCTGCAATTCAGAGGCCAGAAAGGAACATGACTACATGAAACCTGGGGCCACATGTATTGCTGCCTTGGAGAAAGAATTTTCTTCATGTTCAAGGGACGTTCATAATTCTTGTATATTTGATGGCTATAAATTGTTTGGGGTGGATCTGCAGATGCATTCTGATTCGGGAGAACAACTCAACAGTGTATTTAAAATGGGTGATATTGAAACGTGCAATACAAGAATATCTTTGAAAAACCAAAACTTCTTAACGCAGAAGATTGGTGTTTTTGTAGAGCCTGTGAATTTGGGCTCTGTTATGCATGGTAAGCTGTGGTGCAGTAAGCATGCGATATATCCAAAAGGTAAGATTCAGTACGATCTTTTCTGGACTTGTATATCTTCAGTTATTTTTGTGGGAGTTTAACATTTCTTTTGTTCTGGTAAATTTATGAAGGATTCAAGAGTCGTGTTAAGTTCTTTAGCATTCTTGATCCAGCAAGAATTTGTAACTATGTTTCTGAAGTCTATGATGCCGGATTTCTTGGGCCGCTTTTCAAGGTATCATTGCTGAGCTTGTTTCTGTTTTATGTTTAAAAATTAAAATCATATTGACAACTTTCTGTTTCTAGATGTATCTACTACATAGCATATTTAATAATATAAATAGATGTTTAAGGTGTAGAAGGCATTAAAAAGAAACACAAGGGTGTCTCTGTGCAAACCTTTATCACTGCAAAGTATGGTGCATTTTGCTAAAAAGGACACTGCTAAATATTTTCAGGAAAGACCTTTATCTACCGAAGGTTTGTGGGATAGGTTGCTTTATGAATTATTCTAGTCGTCCTAGAAAATGTCTCTTTATGCTGCATTGGTTTGGTACTCCACTTTTAATATGCTCTTCTCTCATCTTAAACTTTACAGTTATAGTTGCTCCATTATATATTGTTGGGACAACTACTTTGCTGTCTTCTTTTTCGCCTTATTTTTTCTCCGATATTGTCTGGAGAAACTGAACCGGTGCTAAATTTTCATTGAACAGAAAAGTTGTTGCACAGCATTGCATTTATTAGTGGAAATAAGCAATAATAAATTTATTGTTATTTTATTTTTAATTTTATGGTAAGTGCATGGACATATTTTTATGTTGAAGTTACTTTTCTCTCATTTAGTAAAATATATTTCAGGTTACCATGGAAGAACATCCAAATGAGGTCTTCACAAGCACCTCAGCAGATAAGTGTTGGGAGTCAGTTCTTGACAGACTAAATCATGAAACGAAGAAGCTAAGGAATCAAGGGGAAAGAGAACTTCCTCCCTTGGAGCTTCTCCAAAGCATTAAAGGTCATAAAATGTTTGGATTCCTTTCACCATCCATTAGTCAGGTAATGCAAACCAATGAATACTTAAGATATTCACACCTTGTTTGTCTAAAAATAACATCACTGGTGTTTTCTTTTCCAATATAGAAATGTAGTCCTACAATTTTAGAATATGAGACTTTCTTTTACCCAGTTTTGTTGAACAAAGTTATGGTCTGATTCTGATGTGTCAATATCCATTCTGAAAACTTTTTCAGGCTATTGAAGCTCTGGATCCCAACCATCAATGCGTCGAGTACTGGAATCACAAAGAAGTTGCGTCTGAATCTTCAGACAGTGCCATTGATGACTGTAAGCTCAGTCATGGTTCAAGTAACTCTCTATGTGATGTCAAGACCAAACTCCTTGGCCCTGGTTTGACAAAGCAGGAGCAAGATAGCAGCAGAGGAAATTGTGATTCTTTTGAAGAGATGAAATTGGTGCTACAAGGATTGTTGAAAAAGGCAAGTGCTGAAGAATTGAGTTCCATGCACAAGTTATTCAGCTCTGATGCACAGTTCAGTAAGTGGAGAGTGGCATTTGTAACTCTGATAGAGGAAATCCAGAAAGCTTGTGCATAAAGAAGTATAACATCTCACAGTTCTGTCTGACTTTGGAGGAGTCTTCAAATAGAAAGTGGCTTAGTATAGGCTAAACATTGGACTATCACTCCACAACCCAAATACCATAATGGAAAATGGTATCCGACATCAACAAATTGTGGTTGACGATAATCTGGTGAGAAAAATATAAGTTAGAATAAAATTGATCTTAGAACATAATGAACAGTAAATAAAAATGAAGATTAAGGGTTTCTTTTATTTAAAAATAATTTCAATAATCAATTTAAAAGAAATGTTTTGTAGAATGAATTAAAAAAAGAAGAAGAAATTTTAATGACTTAAATTTAAAAAATGTTTTAAATAGAAGAGGATAGCAAAAAATGATGTAGTGAAATATCTGACACCCATATACTATCAATAAAAATAAAAAAATATATTTTATTAATTTACTTTTTATTTTTCAAAGATAAAAATGAAAATTATTTTTACAAAACAATAAATAAGCTCTACTTCTATTTTTTTTTCTAACATCTTTCTCAGTTATTAAGATGGTAGTAGGCCCAGGATATGACCGGAGAGCGAAGAGATTTTGGGCCAGTATTAGGTGTTGGGCTCTGATAAAATAGCAGAATTGGATTTAATAAAATTTTGACTTTTACTTTCTTTCACCTCATATTACTGCACTTCTATCACAGTTGAATGACCAAAATAACTTGACTAAAATTTTTGTGGCAAAATTTTAAAAACATCATTCCTGAAACAAAATAATAGTTTAATTTTTGGATTAGCCAATTTGAAATACAAAATTTTAACATTTTATTTTCTAGAACATGTATTCTAAAATGAACTCAATTTATATCAATAGTTTATATTTTGAAATAATTTGATACTATTTAAAAATACATGTTTCGGAAATCATGGAAGGGATAATTCTGGAACTTGAATGAATATTTCGTACTAATATCATCATGATAGAAAAATTTGAGGTACAATGAACAAAAAGTTTAGTAAATTTTTATACTTTATGAAAATATTTGTCACTTTAATTTTGTATAAGTATATTTGTTAGTAGGTGTGAGATTTTAGAAAGTTTGTAATTGTATTTAAATATTTGCATATCTATGGTTCATGATGTAAATTAGAAAAAATATCACTTCGTATTTTTTATTTTTTTTGGAATAGGATAGATGCCACGTAAGTTTTACTTTCTTTCTATTATTAATATTATAGTTATATTATTTGAAGTGTTGTAATATGTTTACTTATAATTCTATTTTTAAAGATAGATTTAATGACAGTTTACTTACGGATAAGTTTTTAGTATAATTGTTTAAGAATAAAATTAAATATTTTATTATATATTTATGAATAATTATTTTTTTAAAATTTAAATAAATTTCTTATTTTTAAACAACTTAAATATGATTTTTTTCTGCTTAATAAATATTTTTTTTGTTACAAAAAGTTTAAATTAGAGGAAGATACTTCCCTTTTATTACCTATGGTAATGGACAGGAATATCTAACATTTTTATTTTTATTTATTTATTATTTGATAAGAGAAAACAATAATAAATGATGTAACTAAGAAAAAAAGAAAAAAAAGAGATATATAAATTAGATGTAAAATTTAGAATGAGTTTTGAAATTTATGACTGGTTTATTTACTATTTTTAAAAATAAATTTTAATTTTAAAAACTAAAAAAACCTTGTTTAGTAACTATTACATTAAAATTGAAAACTCATTTTATTTTGTAGTTTTAAAATTTAAAAGTCAAAACAGATAAAATATATTTTTCATTATAGTTTTTTGTTTTCACTTATAAATATCAATATATTTTATTTAAGAATTCATTTTTATTGTTATAAAATATTATTATAAAACTATCACAATTATTTTTTTAACTTTCACCACCTTTTATGATTATTTATATTAAAATTGATCTCTAAATATATTTTTAGAAACTGAAAAATAAAACTAAATATTTTATACAACTCTTTTTTTAGTTAGGTCTTCACTTAAAGATTTTTTAATAACAAATTTTTACAATATAATAGACAATCCTAAAATATATTTTTTTTGTGATTGATGAAGAAAATAAAATAAGATAGATAAATAATATTATAAAAATTTATATTATAAAATAAGATATTATAAATAAATATATTTTTACAATATAATAGACAATCCTAAATTTTTTTTTCAATATTTTTGTTTTTTTGTCAAAATATCAACCTTTTTGTTTTGAAAATAAATTTTTAGATCACCAATGTTTACAAACACATGATAGATAATTTTAAAATATTATTTATTTGTTAATTGATGAAGAGAGAATAAAAAAAATAATAACATAAAAATTTGGATTATAAATGCATGACTTGTAAGTTAATTTAGTCCTTTTGTTTATAAATATCGAATGCTTTGATAACCTATTTTTAAATTTTATATTATTATTTATCTATTTTATTTCATTTCTAGTCAATTAAAAAATAAAATAAAATTCATGATTGTGTATCCCATGAAAATTTCAAAACATTTTACGATGAAGAATTGAAAAAGTAAACTAGTCAAAAGATTGTGGTTTGAAGGTCCAAAATGTTGAACAAACCATAGAATCCTGAAATTTCGGAACTTGAGAGGAGGATTGATACGAAAATAGGAATCAAAAACCTTTTCTTGTGGCATTGGAGACACATGCATGCACAAAGTCATCAATTGCAACAGAAAAGAAAGGCATGCCAAAAAACTGGTATAAGAAGAAGCACTTGAACAGATATTTGAAAACTATTGATCCTATGAAGTGCATGTTGGTTAAAGAAAGTGGCCAACCAACTTTTTCATTTGCACGGAAAGCATGGAAGAAAAGGGTGGGCTGCCAAATTTTTTATTCAAAGGTGCCATGAGACATATTTTATGGCAATGCACAGTACCAATTTTTGCGGTCTTCTTCCTGCAAGCATAAGCATTCCATCCCACACAAAAATATTTCTTCTCTTAGATAAGAAAGAGTGGCACCAGCATAAGCATTCCATCCCACACAAAAATATTTCTTCTCTTAGAGAAGAAAGAGTCGCACCAGCGAGAGGCAGAAAAACTAGAGAGTTTTAGTTTAGCTTGTGGGTGTAATTGGGTTGTGAGTTGTGAGTGTTTTGAGAGTGTTTTGTAAACACTTGTATATTTTTCTTTTCTCCTAATAAGAGATCTGCAGTAGTCCGGAGACGTAGGCATTATTGACCGAACTCCGTTATCAATTGGTGTGTGTAATTATTCCGCTTTTATTTCACTTTCACGATCGTATGGGAAGATTCAGCATATTTTTCCCAATAATGCACACAAAGATGGAATCATATCATGGCATCTCAAAAGGATTAAAAATAATCTCTACTTCATCTGTTTACATTAACATAATAAGAAGCACGTCCACAGAAGACTTTGCATATATTTTATCAGTTTACTTCTCAGTGGTGACTGCACAACCAAAAAGAATGATAAAATGTGGCAAAATCTTGCTTGAAGGTTTCAAACGGATACCAAAGAAAAAGAAAATTTAATGGAGGCATGCATGCGTGGATCTCATAATGAGAACTAATCAAGAAAGCAAAAAAGATTCCAAAACATGCAAAGTTTGAAGTTAGAATGGTAATGAGGGAAGAGTTTTTTGCACAGAAAGTGGTGCACTATCAGTATGACATGTGCGCAAAGGCACTTGCACTTGAAATGCCACCGAACCATCATGCATCCACTTTCTTCTTTAAACCCTAAAAGCAATGTCTTATATATTTTTAATGCTTCCTTTTATAAATATTATCCACATTTAGGTTTTTGGAATATTCATTATTCTATTCTTCACTATCCATCAACAAATTGGTGATACCATTAACGCCAAAAAAAAGGTTTGTATTTATTTGTTTAATTTAAATTATTCAATTAACTTTTTTGGATTCGTCATTACTCAAACTATACATGATAAAGTCCCTCCTAATTACATGTTTAAAAGTACCATTAAATTTCATTTTATTAATTAAGATGGTGGCATTTGTGTCAAAGGCTTTTTGATTTTTGTAATAGAGAATATTAAGGTATATATTTGGAGGAATTTTTTTATAAGGATTTTTGGGAGAGAAAAATAGGAAAGAAATTGAATTTTTTATATCATAATTAGTTAATTTTAAGGTCATTTATAAATTTTGTTGTAACTTATTGAGTTATTATTTTTAATTTAAAAAAAATCAATTTTTTTTTGTCTTTTAGAAGGTTTTTGGGGAATACAATTGTTTTGAAAGTGAAGGATGATGAACGAATAATTACCAAGATTGCCACTAGCATGGTGAAATAGTGTATGGCAGTGTAAGTGTGATGTGATTTAGATTTTAAACTGTGTAATTTTTTTATATTATCAGCTAATAAAAAATAATTAATAAAATGAGTTAAATTTAAAATTTTTATTATTGTGGCAGTCCCAATATAATCGTTTATTTATATTATGTTTTTATATCCCTAACCAAATAAGTTATCAGTAGAATTTGCTAACGCACTTTTTTTAATACAATTTCTTTTACTCGATAATATTTATATTTATATAAGCATGTTCTTTTATTTTCTACTTGGTATATTTCATTTTCAAATTAGTTGAACTCATAAATTTCAACCAAAAGAGTGCTACCAATACCAACGCAATGGATTGTTTATCAAAAAGTGCTAAAGTGAATGCATTTTTACCTTAAGAATTACAAACATCAAATTCCACATTTTCACAGCACCCCGGAGAGTTTCAGATTCTCCATACTTGACCTGTTAATGTCAGTGTTGAGTTGCCTTCACTTCATACTTCCACCTCAGAACAAACCGCAAAACCAAACACAGTTTCTCAGTGTTCACTGAACTTTCATAAATGTACAAGGTCAACTAGTCTTGCAGTTGAAGATGGACTATACATGCTCCTGAACTGAACAATAGTTGTCTTTGTCACTTTCTTGTTCATGCTTGGTGGGGCTTTGCATTCCAAAACCCAAGTGGAAAACATGCATTGGTCGCACAAACATTCAGTGGTGCTGTGTTTCTTGGCAATGCTTCTAATACCTTCCTTGTGTCAAAGTGATGTAACTACGGCTGTGTACATTGTTACTCTGAGACAAGCTCCTGCTTCTCACTACCATCATGAGTTGATCTCAGTGGGTAACACGTCTAGACATGGTGCATATGGGAGCAGAAGGACTAGAGTTCATAAACCAAGGTACCCCATATTTGATTTTAAGGTTTGGAAAGTGTATTTTTACATTCCTTTATAGCTGAGGCTTCTTGTTGAAGTTTAGTATTTGTGTTATGATGATAAACATTTGTTAAAATGATTGCCACGGTATGTACACAACTCGTGGACAAGTTTGTTTGAAAACCTTATCATTATATCTGCTTGATCTTCTAAATTCCAGTTAATTTGTACCATTCTAATTTTTATTTTCTTCTAATTTATTGACTGTTTTGCCTAGTTGTGCATTATATTTGAGAGATATTTACGGTCTTTTGTTTTTTTTTTTCAGACATCAGAATGTTACAAAGGAAGATAAAGGACATCGTTCATACTTTGCCCGAGTTCATGACTCGTTGTTGAATAAGGTGTTTAAGGGGGAGAAATATCTGAAGCTCTATAGCTATCATTACTTGATTAATGGATTTGCTGTGTTGGTTACCCAACAGCAGGTATGGTCTGGTTTTACTTTTCAGTATCTTGATTTGGTCCTTATTCTGTGAAGAAACATGTGCTTGTTTGTATTTCTTGTTTCCATTTATTCATGGTTTGGTGTTTCTATCTGTGTAAATTTCTTCAACCAACATTTTCTTGCTTTCTGTAATCTTGAAGGCAGACAAACTGTCAAGGAGAAGTGAAGTGTCCAATGTGGTTTTGGATTTTTCTGTGAGGACTGCAACCACCCACACTCCACAATTTTTGGGGCTGCCACAGGGAGCTTGGTTGCAAGCAGGTGGGTTTGAAACTGCTGGAGAAGGAATTACTATTGGGTTTGTTGACACTGGCATTGATCCTACACACCCAAGTTTTGCTGATGATAAATCTCAACATCCTTTCCCTGTTCCTGCTAATTTCTCTGGCGTCTGTGAGGTTACTCCAGATTTTCCATCCGGTTCTTGCAACAGGAAGCTAGTTGGGGCCAGACATTTTGCAGCTTCTGCGATAACCAGAGGAATATTTAACTCATCTCAGGACTATGCTTCTCCCATTGATGGTGATGGCCATGGCACGTGAGTTTTTTACATTTCCAATTTAGTCTGCTATTCGTTTGTTCTTAACAACAAATGACCATTTCCCATTTAGTGCATTTCCCCTCATTTTTCCCCTGTTTCTTCAATAGTTTGTCTAGGATTGCTACGTTAAGTTCTGATTTTTGCCAATGCTTGAAAGTTTAAAATGAACTTATATGCTCATGTCAGACTTAACAACATTTCTTTTAATCAGAAGTTCAAAATATGATAGTTCTTTGAATTAAGTGTATTACAAAATTAAAACTTCATTTTACTTGTTTTTTCACTGAATGTTTGTTCTGATGTATCTATAATATTCAGGCACACGGCTTCTGTTGCAGCTGGAAACCATGGAATTCCAGTGATCGTTGCAGGGCAATTTTTTGGAAATGCTAGTGGGATGGCTCCTCATTCGCAGTAACTAATCTTGAACTTTATAGAAGTTAAAAACTCATGTGTCATTATTATTTGTGTGCCATTTCGGAGAATAATTAGAGAAGATGAGACTAAATGGACCACAGGACTTGAAAGGGAAAAAAAGAGAGAAGAAAGTTGATAACTAGTGACAGAAAGATAAAATTTATCCGAGAAATACTTAATGCCTTTTGCTTTGCAGAGAAGTGCTCAACTAGGTGCTAGAACTCAGTATCTATATTCTGAAAGAGGGTTCCTAGCATTGAGCTTTAAGATAGCATAGGCTAGCATATCAATGCAGTTAAAGATGTGAGACCTCTAGATATTTATCATTCTGCAAGGGTTTGCGGTTCTATAAGTGGTCTATGCATCTAGAAGATGTTACCAAGTCATATTTACCAGATTAATTATCATAAAGTCAGGATGTTTAGAACATTTAACGTCTGTAAATAAGACTTGGAACATTCTTTTCAGAAGTAAGGAGAAAATATTTCCTGTCTCTTAAAATTGTATAATTTTCTAAAAAAGAAAAAAACTGAGAAAACTCCAATGCTTGGGCCAGGTTCAGAACAGAAATAGTTATTTGTCCTATGAAATGGACCACTCCAATCTTCCTGTGTACATTACCTGTCATTCATAGATTTTCCCCACATTTTGTCATATGCTATTTTTTATTTTCTATATCTTGGTCTCTGTCACCTATCTCTCTTTGTACCTTGTGGAATGCTTAATCTCCATAGAATTTATCTACACATAACTTTGTTTCCAACCAACAGCAACCAACAATTTATTTGGCATCTGATTCTTTTTTGTTCAAGAACAAATTGAAACAATGGATCTGTTCTAACCTGGATTTATGATAATTTCATGCAAGCATAATTAATTTTTATTCCATATATGCAACATTTGAATGCTTTCCATTTCAATCTTTTACAGCATTGCCATTTACAAGGCATTATACAAGAGATTTGGAGGATTTGCAGCAGATGTTGTTGCAGCAATTGACCAGGTACGTGTACTTGTATTGTGAATGCCATTAATCAGCAATATTTGTTAATTTAATTCAAGGTAAATTGTGGACACTTGATATATTTTCTTCTTTTGTATCATATTCTTCCTTCCTATAGTACATCCCAACATGTGATTGCTAGGTTAACTACATAACTATTCTTATCCATTTTTCAATAGCCTGTTTAGTGTGTATGATATTTTATTTAACCATCGGGTTGGTCCAATCTAATATCATTTGTTTTTCATTTAAAGTTTGGGAATGCATTTATTCATTTATTTATTAAAATTTTCATTGAGGTATGCATGGTTCTTAGTCAAAGAGTTGCTGCTAAGTTCTGATAATTTCCTTGCTTGTGTTCCCTTCAAATTGTGTTCACTAAATTGTATCCACAAGGTTACATTTCTGCCAAGGCTTATAGTATAATCAAAATTGTTTACAGGCAGCTCAGGATGGGGTTGACATAATATGCTTGTCAATCACTCCTAATAGGCGTCCTTCTGGTATTGCAACTTTCTTCAATCCAATTGATATGGCATTGCTATCAGCTGTAAAAGCTGATATTTTTGTAGTGCAAGCTGCTGGAAACACTGGACCATCACCTATGAGCATGTCCTCCTTCAGTCCATGGATCTTTACAGTTGGTGCCACCTCTCATGATCGAGTTTATAGCAACACCCTGTGTCTTGGAAATAATGTGACCATACCTGGAGTTGGACTTGCACGTAAAATTCTGTTTCTCTTATCCTGGTTAGCTATATGACTGTTTTAGACTAGGACTTTTGACCTTGATGGTGCAATTTGGTTTTGAAATTACTGAAGTAGAGAAGATGAGAAAGTGATTCCTTGCATTTCTCTTCAGAATCCCCACGTATTATTCGTTAAGGGTGTCACGATCTCCATCATCACCACTTATTATCGTCATTGTGTTCTCTGTCGTATTGTTTATAACAATGCTTAACTATTGTTTGATGCTTATGGCTATATCAATTTAATTAAGATATTAATATCATCGTTGTTTTTTAGTATGCATTCTTGCATTTGATGAGGAATTATATGGTCTTCCACACCACCTTTAAGCATGCTGAAGAAGCAATTGATCGAATGACTAGGGCGTTTAATAACATGTTGAGTTTCTTAAATGAGAATCATTTATAATGTTTTACAACGATTAACAAAACAGCAGGGCCAACTTAGCATTCCACCATACCTAATGACATACCTTCTTGCAAACACAAGAAATACAATTTGGCTGACAGGCCACACAACCTAAGCACCACACCTTTGCAGGATATGTTTCATAGTATTCATTCAGAGAAGTCCCTTCTGGTTCCAACATGTATGAATCAAATCAATCAATGTTTGGAACTACTTTTTTGGCATTCTCACGAGACATTATTAGATGGTCCTGGACTAGTATGGTCTCAATCAATATGCACATGACAAATAATCAATTTTATTAATTATTTTCTGTAAATTGTAAAATTTGAATGTGATGCATTGATTGGGACCATGAATACTTGTAGTTTTGGACTGCCTAATAATTTCTCCATTATTAGCATGTGGAACTGTGTTTTTTTTTTTTTTCTTGTCATTATTAGCATCTTACCAATCACCCAAGGAAGATTATCACCCTACAATTCCATCGTTATAAGAAAGAAAAAAGGTAATGGCAGCAAGAATGAAAATGACAACAATAATGAATGTGATTACAAGGAAGAACCCTCACTCTTCCCATGATGACAAAAAATTATAATGTGCAATTACAATTCGCTATATCAGTGTGCTTACTGAGATTTATTTATTAGTTACTACCCTATTTTTTCACTTTTCATTTTTTACTTTCCCCAGCTGGCACACGTGAGAACACAATGTTCAAACTGATTCATGCACGACATGCTTTGAACAAAAGCACAACAGTTGTTGATGATATGTACATTGGTGAGTGTCAAGATGCAAGTATATTCAATCAGGATTTGGTCCAAGGCAACCTTTTGATGTGTAGCTATTCAGTTCGATTTGTGCTTGGGCTCTCCACCATCAAACAGGCCTTAGAAACAGCCATGAACCTTAGTGCGGTTGGTGTTGTTTTCTCCATGGATCCTTTTGTGACTGCTTTTCAGCTTAACCCAGTTCCAATGAGAATACCTGGCATCATAATTCCATCTTCAAATGATTCCAAGGTGCACTTTTAATTTTATCCCTTGAACATGCATGGTTAAATGCACATGTATATTGTCTTTGTTCTTATTTCTTGGCTTTGTATTTTATTACATGGCATATGTAAGCCATCTTTCCTCTCTTTACCTACTTACTGTCTGTAAGAAAACCATGGTGTGGATTTGACATATGTCAATGGTCAACTTACTTCTATCCTTTGCTTACACTTGTTCGGGGATGATACCTTGATTCAAACTGTTCACTTTATTTTTTTTCAACTGAACAGATATTACTGCAATACTACAATTCTTCACTGGAAATAGACGGGGATTCAAAAAAAATTGTAAAATTTGGGGCTGTTGCTAGCATTGGTGGTGGATTAGAAGCTCACTACAATAATGAGGCCCCAAAGGTTGTGTATTACTCTGCCAGAGGACCAGATCCAGAGGACAGTCTTCCTCATGAAGCTGACGTTATGAAACCCAATTTGGTAGCTCCCGGAAGTTTTATATGGGCTGCTTGGAGTTCTGTTGCCTCTGATTCTGATGAATTTTTAGGTTTGTCAATACAGAAACAATTTTTTACCAAGAAAACAAAACATGATAAAGTCTAAGGTGTTCATTTGGTCTGTTCCAAGTTAACCATCTTCATAAATTAAAATCTACACTAGGAAATAGGAATTTTGATTTGTTAAGCATGTCAAAAGAGTGATTTTATATCTGATTTGCATTGTTGCAATAGGTGAGAATTTTGCATTGATGTCTGGCACAAGCATGGCTGCACCTCATATTGCTGGCCTTGCTGCGCTAGTTAAGCAAAAGTTCCCCAATTTCAGTCCTGCAGCCATTGGATCTGCCCTTTCCACTTCAGCTTCTCTGTATGACAACAATGGAAGGTCAATAATGGCTCAGCGATCATATCCTACCATAGACCTTAACCTATCTCCAGCGACTCCCTTTGACATGGGAAGTGGTTTTGTGAATGCTACTGCAGCATTAAATCCGGGATTGCTTTTTGATTCTAGTAAGTTTCACTTAACTAATGAACTTTTAAATCATTATAATGTCTATGCAAGCTCAAATGCTTCCAAATTTCAGCCACAACTGTTGTTCAATATATCTCACTTAACTGGCTCAAATTTAAGAAAGCAGCTTGATTAATTAACAAACCTGGTTTCTGAATTTGAAGTGTGATCACACATTTTCTTTTTGCAGGTTATGATGATTATATGGCATTCCTGTGTGGTATCAATGGTTCAACTCCAACAGTGCTAAACTACACCGGTCAAAATTGCTGGACTTATAACTCTACAGTATATGGCCCTGATCTGAACTTGCCCTCAATCACAATAGCAAGGTTGAACCAATCTAGAGTAGTGCAAAGAACAATGCAAAACATTGCTGGAAATGAAACATACAATGTTGGTTGGAGTGCTCCATATGGCACTTCTATGAAAGTGTCTCCTAATCACTTCTCTCTTGGCAGTGGGGAGAGACTAGTCTTGTCTGTGACCTTGAATGCAACCAGCAATAGCACTGCTGCCAGCTATGGTAGAATTGGGCTGTATGGTAACCAAGGTCATGTTGTCAACATTCCTGTGGCAGTCATTTTCAAAATCTTATAACAACCTAACAGGGTTACTGTCTTTAATTTCTTCATCAGAAATTCATTTTGATTTTGTTTTCTTAATGTAGTCTTTGTTTTATTGGGTTACAAAATGTATTGCGCTATTTTTTCATTCGTTATGGTTAAGTGTAAAGTTTAATATGTATAATAACAGATATTGCTATAATACTTAGGTGGTATACTTTGGATGCTCCTACAAGTGATTGATAATTCTGATTTCTCACATGCTTTGTTGAATAACTGTTCTTTCTTATATTTTTTGTAACAACTTGTTCAAATACACCCTTGTGTATGTTTGAACAAGATTATCTACAAATCCTCATAGGAAGAAAAATTAAAATTAATTTTGTTTATAAATTAATTTGTAGATTTTTTTTATATGTATAAATTTTCTGAATTTTTATTCTCTAATTTTGTATATAAACTAACTTTAATTTATAAATAAACTTTTTTTTTTCCATCTCTAAAAGTGTTTATGAAGAAACTTATCTATCTTATCCATTATTGTCAACATATTTATATGGACATGATATCTAATCTCTACATTAGAGAGGATAATTTATAAAGATAGAGAAATCAAGTAACAATTTATCCAAGAAATTAAAACTAGAATTTTTATTTAATAAAAGGTTTACATTGATATTTTTATAATCTTATCATCTCTATCTCATTTATATAATGCAATGTAATACTTGACGGAGTCTATGGCTTTAATGTTTTTGTCAACTTATTATTAGGTGCATAGAAGTTGACCTTATCTCTGAAACTTCTCAAAAAAATATTTTATTTGGAGTTTTGATAGGATTATAATTTAATTTCAATAATTAATAGAATTAGTTTTAAATGAGATTAACATTTTCTTGAAACATACATATGTTTTCGAATTGCTTATAGATTTAAAATAAAAAAAAATCGTCCAAACTTATTTATAACATCAATTTAAATATAAATGAATTTTACATTTTTTTCTTTAAAATGAATTATATAAAAAAATGATGAGTGAAATAAAATTCAAATTTATGTTAGAAGAGACATATAATATTCAATCGTTCTTTTCGATCAAATTATATATTTCTATAGAAAATGGATAAAGGAAAGAAAGTTCCAATTTGCACAAAGTATATATGGCATATATAATCCACCATTCTTGTTTATAAGTCATACATTAGTTTTACAAGTACATTTAACCCCAAACATAAACACCTACAATCTTTTTATTTGCACCTTGTTTGCATCTCAATTTCTATTATATTCTTTGACGTAGACAACTGTTAAGTGGTAAAAAGTTGATATAATTATGCCTTGAATTGTTATGAAATCATTTAATTTATGTTAATTCTAATATATTTTTCTCCCAATATAAGATGGATTCGAGAATACCTTGATACAAGAGTAAGGAGCATAATTGGAGTAAAATTGAAAGAAAGAAGAGCGCTTAAGCGAATGAATGATGCGAGGCCCGACGCAAATTCTCTTATAAAAAGATAAGTTGTGTTTTGAGAAAAACAAGCAGTCTTGGAGGAGAGGAGACACGACCACTGTTAGGGTTTTGTCTAATCTTCATCAATTCTTCACTTCTTCATCAATTGGAGCATTGTAATGGCCAACATGAGTGACTAACTTCATTCTCTTAGGATTCAGTGCACTTCCTTTGAACTCTTTTGTATCATGGTGATATTTTGAGATCTTAATCTATGCTTTGATGTTGCTATTCTTATCTTTTATGCTTTGGAATGATTTATTCTTGATTGTTTGAGGTATGATTGGAAAATATATCTTGAACCCTAGATCACGGTAAGAATATTTGTTACGTTAATTGCTAGGAATGGAATGAATGTATCAATTGCTTAACACCCTAACCCTAATGCTGGAAAATCTGTTAATTGTGTGAGGAATCAACATTTATTAGGTTTTCTTATGAATTTCATGTGTGAGGAATCAACATGGATGATTTGAGTAGGTGACATCAATATTGTTAGGTTAATTGACGTTCTTAATTGATTTAGCCATTACAAAAGATGGATAAGGAAGGAAGTCAATCTTAAGTACCTTTAATTGATATTTTCTCAACAATTTATATTTCTTTGTCATTTAATTTCAATTCAACTCTTATTTGCAAAACTCAATCTATTTTAATCTACTTAGTAAGCATAATTGGGAATTTCCATTGAAACCGTTCCTCGTGGGATCGACTTTTATTTAATCGAAATACTATATTGCAATTGATAATTTTGGTACGCTTGCCAATAATTCAACAAGTATTTCTGGCACCGTTGTCGGGGAACGATGTTCTTTGAGAATTCTTTGTTTAGCTTATTGAGTATTTTATTTTAATTTCTGTTATTATTATTATTATTATTATTATTATTATTATCATTATTATCATTATCATTATTATTATTATCATTATTATTATTATTATTATTATCATTATTATCATTATCATTATTATTATTATCATTATTATTATTATTATTATTATCATTATTATCATTATCATTATTATTATTATCATTATTATTATTATTATTATTATCATTGTTATCATTATTATTATTATTATTATTATTATTATTATCATTATCATTATTATTATTATTATTATTATTATTATCATTATCATTATCATTATTATCATTATTATTTTCATTATTATTATCATCATTATTATTATTATTATTATTATTATTATTTAGTTTTTAGTTTGTGCTAATATTTGCTTGAGTTACTCTTTTGATTTATGCGTTTAAGAGGACATGTATCTTCAGAAGAAGGGAAACTCAAGAACAAACTACAAAAGAATCTGTTAATTCTTCTTTCACACTTGATTTACCGGACCCAATTATAGAAGATATGACGGAAGAAGGAGCAAATCTGAATTTGAATCTAAATCCAAATATAAATCCAAATCAAAACCCAAATGCAAATCCACCTAGAAGAACTCTTAGAAATTGTGCTATGCAACAAGGTCCAAGACATTTTTCCAGCATTGTCATTCCGGATGATCATACATTGCAGATGAATCCAGCTTTCTTAAGCTTGATTAGTGCTCATCAATTCACTGGATTGGATCATGAAGACCCTTATATTCATTTGTCTACTTTTTATGAGTTGATTGGTACCATGAGATTTAGAACAACAAATCTTGAATCTGCATATTTGATATTATTTCCTTTTTCTTTGGCAGGTAGGGCAAAGGAGTGGCTGAAAGCACATCCTAATTAGAGTTTGACTAATTGGAGTAGTGTAGAAGAGAAGTTTCTGAATATATTTTTCCCACCATCCCGCTACATCAAAGCAAAATCTGACATCACTTCTTTCAGACAAGGAGCAGATGAAAAATTTTATGAAGCATGGGAGAAATTTAAATCACTATTGAGAAGTTGCCCAAATCATGGATTTGATGACGTTTCTCAGTTGAATATTTTCTATACTGGCTTGCGACATAATGCAAAGATGCTATTAGAGGCTGCAACAGGAGGATCCATGTTGGATGTAGAAATTGATCATACCACAAGAATTATTGATGCACTAGCTTTTACAGACCAATAGGCCTAACATGATAGAAATTCAATTCAAAAGAAGGTGGTCCTTGAACTTAACACCACAGATGCTCTCTTAGCCCAGAATAAAATTTTGACCCAACAAATTGAAGCATTGAACCAGAAAATAGAGAAATTACCTCAACAAATGCACACAGTACAAACTATTCCTAATCAACAGATGAGTTGTGATTTGCGTGGAGGTGATCATTCAAATGAACAATGCTCTTATCAAGGCAACATTCAACAAGAAGAAGCTAATTATATGGGGGCCCAAGGTAGTAGTCAAGGCAGACAAGGTAATTTTCCTAATCCCAATAATTATCAGAATAATTTTGCACAAGGATGGAGAGAGAATCAAAATCAGAATCAGAATTTAGGGTAGAACCAAGGTGTTAGCTCATCTACTAGACAACATGCATTTCAACAACAATCATATCAACAACAACAACATTATCCTTCAATGCCTGACAGAATAAGTAAATTGGAGGATACTTTAGAAAAATTCATGCAAGGCACTATGTCTAATCAGAAAAATACTGAGGCTTCATTAAAAAATATAGAGACCTAGATAGGCCAATTGGCTAAGCAATTATCTGAGCAGCAACAAGGAGGACAATTTTCAGCTAACACACAAACCAACCCCAGGGAGCAATGCAATTCAATAACTACAAGGAGTGAAAAGTTATAGGTAAGGGGATTGGTGACAATATAGTTGTTGAAGAAGAAGTTTTGGTAAAAGAAGATGAAGAGCAAGAAGAGGAGAATAATAAAGAAAGACATATTCCTAATAAGAAGAATGAAGAGAAGATAGAAAAAGGAGGAAGTCAAAAACAATTTGTAGAGAAGTTACCGTATCCCAAGGCTCCTTCACAGATAGATAAAGAAAGACAGTTTGCAAGATTCATGGATATTTTCAAGCAATTGCAAATTAATATATCATTTGTGGAAGCTATGGAGCAAATGCCAACATACGCCAAATTCATGAAAGAGCTCTTAACTAAGAAAAGAAGATTTACTAATGAAACAATAGAGTTAGAGGCAGGATGCAGTGCTATATTCCAAAAATCATTGCCTCAAAAGTCCAAGGACCCTGGAAGTTTCACTATACCAGTCACAATTGGTGAATTACTGGTGAAAAAATCATTACTTGATTTAGGGGCCAGTATAAACCTCATGCCATTATCTATGCTCAAAAGAATAAGAGACTTGGAAGTAAAACCTATAAGAATGATATTGCAGCTAGCTGACAGATCTCTAAAGATTCCTTATGGAGTAGCAGAAGATGTTTTAGTTAGAGTGAACAAATTCATATTTCCTATTGATTTTGTGATTATAGACATGGAGGAAAATGAGGAAGTCCCATTGATCCTGGGAAGGCCATTTATGAAGACTGTCAAAGTAATTATAGATTTTGACGTGAGCAAGTTAAAAATTAGAAGTGGAGATGATGAAG